AAAGAAACGTTAACTTACGTCACACACGTCAAACCCATAGAGGTCAAACCCAAGGGGCATTACAACGTACATTTTCGTTAAATAATACGGATAAATATGTGACGCTAACTAGCTAGCTGGACGTACTGCACTGTTGTTTACACTTGTTTTTTAATTCAATTCAGAAGTTTATTAAAGTCATCCAGAGATCTTGGCTCTGTTATAGATAAGTTATACTTTATATTACATAAATAGACCAAAGTGAAAACATTTAGACCGGTATAGCCTACAGTATGGTGGGATTTATAAAATGCTACCCTGACGTCTGCTGTTAGCTTTATTTATTTTTCTGACATGTTTCAATGTTTTACTGTTTATTAAACTTTGGGACACAATTACAACCTTTTTATTCAGCTCATGCTGCTTTGAGGTAGGGCTAAAAGAAAAGCCTATTTTAAATATTTCCACCAGATTTGATCATCTTTTATTTAGCTTAAAGTTGATTTAATTTATCCTAATCCCATAATAATAATAATTATCAGGTCCGAAAGTCATGCTAATGTCAGTAAACAGTGAAACAGGAAGCTAAGGCTCTTTCACAATAAAAGCCTCACAACAGCTGATAGGACAGACAGGATGTGTGGTTTGACTTCCTTAAACTTAAAGAAAAAAACAGCTTATATATTAGTTTAAGACAGTGGTTCTCAAACTTTTTCTGTCAGGCCCCCCCTTTGGAGAAAAAAAAAAGTCGGGCCCCCCCAACACAAGTCAGGCTCAGTGGCGGCGCCAGATATTTGTTTTGGGGGTGCTGTGGGGTAGCTTGACGTTTCATAGAGGGTGCTCAAACATTTAGGGTTTCCCATTAATGTACCGGTCGCTACAGTGGAATGTTCTACTGCAACAACCCCCATGCATATACACAATGTACCCGCAACTGTTACAATGAAGGCTCGATAATCAGCTCACGGCATATAGGTGTAAGCAGGGGTCAAGTGCTATTTTTATAGGTGGTGTGTGGACCTCACATAGGGGGGACCTAACCTCCTCTAGTGGGGTCCGGGGGCATGCTCCCCCGGGAAGATTTATTTTTAAATATTGAAGTTAAAAGCATCAATCTGGTGCACTTTGAGAGCAAAATGAAGAGATCTATGGATACCTCTCTCAACACCCATTTGAAACAGAACTGTAAACAGATTTACTTTTTCTTTATGGATATTTTACAAATCACCCTTTGAAACTTTATTCTTGTTTTACTGTCATATAGTATTTCATAGCTGTTTTTCATGTATTCTCTTATTTTTTTATAACTATAATGATCATATAAATGTGTGCCTTGGAAATAATTGTTTACATTAATGGTGACCAACATTTTTGAGACCCACTGAGATAACACTGAGAGAGTCCTTTAGCTCACTGAGTCTCTCAGTCTGACAGGAGAGGACTCTCCTCCACTTTGTTGTTGAAAAAACTCCTTATATCCATTAGTGTAGCTCGCTAGCACCAGAAGCTAACAACAACCATCTCCGGTACCGGTGCGCGCTCTCTCTCTCTCTCGCGCGCACAAAATGTTTCGTTCCACACACACACACACACACACACACACACACACACACACACACCACCACACACACACCACACACACACACACACACACACACACACACACACACACACACACACACACACACACACACACACACACACACACACACACACACACACACACACCACACACACACACACACACACACACACACACACACACACACACACACACACACACACACACACACACACACACACACACACACACACACACACACACACACACACACACAGAGCCGAGCTTTAATGAAACACAGAGACCCAGACGTAATAGTACTGTACTGCATCATATTATTTTCGAATCAATAATTTTTCAAAATATGATTTTTTGTTTATATAACCATTTTTCCTCCTGGTCTCTGGAATGCCTCTGCGCCCCCCAGGGGTGGGCGCGCCCCCCCCACTTTGAGAACCACTGGTTTAAGAGTTTAAGCTTATTTGTCTTGCCACACTTATAAAGGCATCACTGCGCATCCTTAACAAGTAAGTGACATTATAAACTTGCAACAGGTGTTGGATCGCAATATCCATACACTGAAACACATTTGACTTTTGATTATTTTATATATACATAATTGAATGAGATAATGCCTAAAAAATTTTAGGAAAGCTTTTAAAATCACATCATTTGTGGCTGCAGTATGAACCAAGACACAATATAAGTCACGTAGCCTACAACTCCAGAGTCCATCCTGCCTTATCTAAGTACAAGTGATACTCAGATGTTAGCATTATACTGCCCTCTTGTGAAAAAAGTGCCTTATGACACGCTCCTGGGGGCTTGTTACTGTACATCTTATCCCTCTGTGCCAACATCCATCATCCAAAAGCTTTTAAAAACTAACCAATGAATTGCAGCAATCTTTCCTAGTTTAAAGGACATTTCTATCATTCATCCTTCTGTGAATAATCATCTAAATGTGTGCTATTGTGAGAAGAAAATCTACTTGTTTGATTAGCATTACCTGAAAACTACCTAAGCTGTTGCTAAGCAGTTAATGAACACCGCACAATATATTCATATCGCGATTTGAATGAATAGTGTCTTCAATTGGTCTTTCTTTCTGGGATTCATTGAGAATAGGAAGAATAATGAATTATATCAACCATATGTATCCCTACCAAGTGTTTTTGAATGTGTCCATGTCAAGTGTACTAATAGCATTCCTGTTATTGAACATTTTAATCCAAAATTTCATTTCACGCCTGAAACATTTATTCAGAGGAGGACCCACATATTCCACTCATTGCTTGCAGGCATCACATTTTCTAGTATTACTACATTTGACTTACCTTTAGTTTGAGAAATAGTCCACAGTTAGCTTCAATGTCTTTTATGTGTCTTATTAACAAACACACCCTGAAAACTCTGGCAGGAGCACTCATTCAAGGGTACTATGACTATGCTTGCACGTCATGGTACCATAGCACCTCCAAGGCGCTAAAAATAAAACTTCAAACATCGCAAAATAAACTGGTCAGACTACTGCTTGACCTTTCATCTAGAACCCACCTCACCTCTGCCCACTTTGACAACCTAGGATGGCTTAGAGTAGACGACAGAGTACAGCTACTTGCAATGGGCCTGGTCTACAAGATCCACTACACCTCTATGGTACCCATGTACATGTCAAAATTCTTCCCAAAGGTCAAGGAATACCATGATCATAACACCAGAGGGAGCTCCACAAATCATGTGAAACCCAGATTTGGCACAAAAAAGGGGGAATACACGTTTCGCAATTATGCCACATCAAGGTGGAACGCTCTTCCCACAACTGTAAAGGAAAGTAAAACTATACTTACCTTCAAAACCTCTCTTAAAGAGCACCTTCGGGGGAGAGCATTGCAAAACTGGCCCCGGTAATGGTACAAATCTCAACCTGTCGTTCAATGGACAGCTTCCCCCCCCCATCTATGTATATACTCGCATTTTAGACTCTGTTACTAACTGTATATCTGTAGACTTGGTATGTCTTAAATGTCCGGTTAGGATGTATTAGAACGAAATCTAAAATGAAAATTGTAAACAAGCAATCTGTATGCAAAAAAACACCTGTATGTAAATTGTAAATAAGCCATCTGTATGTCAAATATGTCTTATATGTCTTAAATGATATGATGAATTGGAAATGGGGGACCCTGATGTAAACAAGACGAAAGTCTTTCTCTGGTCTGCATCCCCTTAACAATTGTATGTTTTGAGCTGTACTGTACTGTACCCAATATACAAGCTGTTAATAAACTTTTCAATCAATCAATCAATTCTCAGCTGTCATGGATGCCAACAGTCGGTTTACCTGGCAGGAACACACTGTGCTGTTCTGTGAATAACCGCTAGACTTTGGACCCTCTGCTGAATGAGAGAGAGTGTTTAAAGTTGTAGTGAATCTTTCTAGTATTACAGTATGTCTTGTGTCCTCACACAGTTTATCGTTGCATGATGAAACCCACAACATGTTTTTGATGTGGGTACAGTCCCTCAGAATCAAAGATAGCTTGTTTCTCTAGCTCATAAATGTGCACAAATTATAAGAGGGGTATTTTAAAGAGGCTGTATTATCGTTTTTTAGGTTTTCCTTTTCCTGTGGTGTAAAGATTGCTGTGCATGTAAATGGTCTGCAAAGGCTTAAATCCAAAAGTTCCCTCCAGAGGGAGTTTCTCTCTCTCACACTCCCCCCCGCCCGCCTGAAACACCTCCATTGGACTCCGTTGTTTACTTCCCGAGCATAGTGATATCATTAAGTAAAACTCAAGCTAATTTAGAGCCACAAAAACACCGTAATAACAGCGTAATATGGGTGTAATATCGCTGTGACATGGGTGTTATATGGGTAAAATAACAGTGTAACATGTGTATAATATGTGTGTAATAATAGTTTAACATGGGTATAATGGCAGGTTTATTAATGTGTAATGTGGATGTGATAGCAGTATAATATGGGTATATTAGGGGTGTAATTACAGTCGGTGTACTGTACGGTGTAATAATGGTGTAACATGGGTGTAATGCAGGTGCAATAATGCTGTAATAGGGGTGTATCAATGTGTAATATGGGTGATATAACAGTTTAATATGGATGTTATGTAGAAAATAGCAAGTGATCCATTTAATCACTTGCTATAAACCGAGCAATAAAAAAACAAAAACGCACTTAGATACTAACAAAGCACTTATATACTAATAAAGGACTGGCTTATCTAAAGCCAGTTGAGTAGCACTTGAAATGTGTTGGCTCTATGAAACCTGATGTACTTTATGATTCTGTTTTCTTCTAGGTTGTGTCTTCCTGGTCGAACGCACTTATTGTAAGTCGCTTTGGATAAAAGTGTCAGCTAAATGAAATGTAATGTAATGTTTAGATAAAATAATGAAAGTGTTAAAATGTTTGCATCCAGAGACACAGGACGACATGTTTTCGAGTTGATCATTATTGTGATTTAATTCACTATGTCTTATATCACAAAGAAAGTCTTTAAAAATGCAGACTAGAATTTCTGTATATAAACTGTACACAAAAAGCAAGGCACTATACATTCAGAGCTGCTGTTTCTCTTCCTCGTCAAACCTTTAAAATTACAACTCTGACATCTCGGTGGGTCACGACTCAGCAGTTTTAACACAATGGAGCAACTTGAGATCCTACGTGGTCAGACAGCATCCGGACAGAAAAGAAAGAAAACAACCTTTACCCACAACATCTGACGTGACGGGATTTGTTTTTACACACGTACACAAACACACATTACACACAAACATTATATACAGCCGCACACACACATACATACACAGCATGGCACTCTGACACCAAGCGTACTATGTGCACATTTTCATTCTTAAATCCTGACTTTGGAGGGGACTCCAAAACACCGTGCATGAACCGAAGCAACGTTTATTTTTCCACTTTCTCTTAAAATGAATTTCTGTTACGTAATGACAAAGTTTAAAGGTGAAACATGACTATAAGCAAGGCGAGTGTCGGCCTTTGTGTTCTTCAGATTCCGGTACTTTCCATCCCAATGTCCTCTCGTGTTTCCATCAAAACAGGTTCATGTGACATTTCCTGTGTCTCCGTCTCCGTCTCCATCTCAACGGGCCAGTTTTTATCCGCTGCTTCCATCTTTGATTTAAAAAACTTTCTTAAAATAATCCTCTGGCCTTCTTTATGTTCACTTGCTTCCACCCTGGTAAACTTTCATATTCCTCTCTCTTCATCTCCAAAGCCTTCTGCAAATAGAAGTAGAGACAGCAGGTAATTCATCAGGACACACACATTTCACTTCATGTACTGTTTTAACGGAAAGTGTTGTTTCTTGTAACTGATAACATCTGTGGAGCTTTCAAAATTGGTCTTCTGGAGAAAAAAACCAGCAAATGTAATGGATTCTTTTTCTTCTGCCTCAGATAATAATAACCAATTTTATTTATAAGCGCACTTTTCAAAAAACTCAAAGTGCTAATAAGGTAAGACCAGGTAAATAAGAGTCTTTCAAATACGGCACATGTTGTTAATCTCTTTACATTTCGTGCTTATAAGCCTTTAAAACTTTTCAGAATGATTCCATACGTCAAGGGTACACATTTCTTTTTAAATATTCTCTACGATAGAAAGTCTTATTGTCATCTACGTTTGATTCAAATGTAAGCGGCTGTGAATTTTCCAAGAAATATTACCCGCTTAAGGTCTTAGGACTTAAATATAGTTTTCTTGGTTCTATCACAGTTAGATGTCAATTTTAAAACTGTATTACGTATATTAAAGTGTAAAATACATATTCCTACTGGTCAATAATGCAATACATTCTGCATATCAGACTAATTTGGTTCATATATTTGCTGATTACTCGTAGTTTGTATCATAATATACTGTCTGTTTGGTCGATACTGGGCTATTTGAGAGAAAACACACTGCTTTCTTGTTAATGATATATACATGTATCGCTGTGTGGGTTGTTACAAGGGAAGTTTAGTTGTTTCATGCCTCCATTTTGTGCTCCAAAGACAAACAGTGAGTCAGACTGAGAGCAGCTGATGGTGAATCATGAGTGCATTTATTCAAACGAAGGGGAAAGACTCTCAGGTGTGTGTGTGTGTGTGTGTGTGTGTGTGTGTGTGTGTGTGTTTGTGTGTGTGTGTGTGTGAGAGAAGAGATGAGTAGCATTAGCAGAAGAGTGTGGTGTAGTCGAAGGTAGTGAAGAGGAACAATGGCTGCACAATTAAATGTCTCAATTATCACGAAAGGTGCACAAAAGGTGTTTTAAAACGTTTGTTAACACACTCAAATGTGTGTTGAAAACTGTTCAATCAATCTTTAACCATTGAGGTTTATATGGAGGTCAATTTCTACTTGAATAATACATTTTAAATATACAACTTATCCTACTGAAAACAACAAGTTAATGACACATTTCTATTTATACGACTGAAACTATAATTTTATCTACATAAATAACCATTTATATTTCCTCAACAGTCATTGTAAAACCCGAAAGGATATCACAAACGAATATATAAAATATAAATCTGAACAATTGTCTGTGTTACTGCTGATGAATGGCAATGAATCTGTTATCAAAATAGATGCTGAAATAAATGTTTCTGTCAAATGAGTAATATTAAAAACTGGTTTCAAGTCTATGAGTCACTTTGTACAAAAAAGGAATTCATATTTTCAAATCATGGCTGTAATAAGTATGACCATAACAAATATATTTAATACTTTAAATATATATGTGTAGTTTCTAATGTTGCTGTCCCTAGCAGGAGTAGGATGTGAGTGTGTCTCATGTGTCATTGTATATCCGTTGAACATCCTGAATGGTTTTTGACGGCTGCTGTTGAAGGTCTCGACTGACTGGATTTGATCTAATAGAATAATCAGGAGGATCGTTTCAGACGTAATCGTGCAGCCAAGCGCTAAACTTCCCCCCCAACCAGACCCACACTGAGGAGACAGCAGTGAAACAGGAGTGAAACAGAAACAGAGGTGTCAAACCACGTGAATATTAAATATTAAGAAAAGAAACACAGTGCTGACGTGCCGTAGAGAAGAGAGGTCGCCTGAATCACACAAATGTCTCTTCTTACCTGATCCACCTACAACTCGCTCTGTGAAGTGAGAGTTAGATGGGGTTAGGATGGATGTTATGAAGAGGAAGTTGGAGATTTGATGGAAAAATCAACCTTTGCATATTTCAAATATTACCTACAATGAGGAATAAGTCCTGTTGTTATTTACTGCTTCATATCAGTCTACAGCAGGGGTGTTCAAACGTTTTTCACCGAGGGCCACATACAGACAAATATACGAAGGGCTGGGCCACTCACTAGAGGTATTTTGCCTCATAAGCAGAGATGGGGTCGTTACTAAAAAAAAAAGGAATATTACATATTACTTTTAAAAAAAAGTAATATATTACACTACTTCGTTACTCTCTACATAAAGTAACGAGTTACTTTACTCGCAGGGCCGGCCCGCCCCTCCCTGCAGGCAGATCACGCAGACTGCTAAAGTTTCAAATGTTCTCTTTAGTTCAGTTTCCATTATCGCATAAGACTGATCCAGATTCTTTCACACACACATACGGTATTGGGCCGAGCGCGACACCGTACTTCCGGTATCCGCCGTTTTACGCGAGGTGCAAGCAGCCGTACACCGTCGAGGTGTTGCTAAGCTTCCTGTACTGAATATCATAGTCTATTGCCTTAATCAATATCTAGTCAACTCTAAAATACCACATATATGCAATGGCATGATAATATTATTGTGACAAGTGGGGTATTCACCTGGTGTTTCCAGAAATTAGACGTAGATGCAGCCAAAATCGATGCAGTCTGTAAGGGCAATCCGACAACCCACACAGCTCTAGTTTACGCTGGTAACGACCTAAAACACACCCCTCAAGTCCAGAGATGTAATCCGAAGACATGCAGCGATTTCTTCGGTCGTTAATTCAGAAAAAAAACTTAGTGCGCTCTGCCTGGCTACGTTAGCTAGCTGTTTATATTAGCACTTCCAGGATATTAGCACCTCCAGGAAAATGGCGTATTTATATATATATATATATATATATATATATATATGGCGCGTGTTGCATTGTGGGTAGCTCGTGACGTCACTGTGTGAAAGAATAGCTCCTGAATGTTTTCCTATCTGACCATGGCTGTCCTCTGTCTCCTGCTATCTGTATATTTTGCGCAGTCTATCTCTGCTCACGCTGTTGCGTCGGCGTGTTCTCCTGCGTGTTGGCCATGTGTTGCACTGGAACCAGACACCGCAAAGACTTCAGCCGAGCACGTACGAACTGCGCATGCGTGAGTGGCAATAACTCTCCTTACCAGCAGGCGGCGGTAGTGTGTATTCGTCATTCAAAACAGGCAACAACCGGAAAACAGAGAAGAAGAACAGACCAGTGATATAAACAAACAACTAATAGCTGTGCGTTAGCTTCACCTTAGCATGTGTTCTTTGCAGGTGTTTGTTGAGGTTTGATTACGACTGATTTTAGTAAGTAACGAAGTAACGCGTGTCGGAGCAATGTTAGTAACTACTAAACTGTGATTACTAAATTATAAAAGTAGCGCGTTACACCCAACTCTGCCATACGTTATGTTATAAGTTGGAAAAGTCAATCCAATGTAGGTAAATTATTATTGATACTTGAAAATGCTTAAGAAAAAAACAGCACACAGCTCTCCATGGGGTTTCATTTATTTTGTTGGCAGCTCATCCCTTAAAACAGAAGCCTCAGATTGATTATCATAAGAGGTAATATGAAGAGTTTATTTCAAGCGTGTTCTGTAAATAAGTTATTTTCTAATCAACTTAGAGTTGTTAGAACATGTTTCCAAATGTAATTGACTGAAGTTATTTGAAAATTGGGCTTCTTAACACATGAATACTGTGTAATATATTTGAACATATATATTTAAGAAGTACAATACAAGACAAGCACAAGTTTCATTTGTGGGCCGTATTTCATTATACTTTTTGAATTTGCTGAGGGCCGTTTCAAAATGGTCCGCGGGCCGCATTTGGCCCCCGGGCCGAGGTTTGGACACCCCTGCTCTACATGTATGTCTGCTGGATGGAGCAGCTTCTGGAAATATCTTGATGTTTTTTTGGCTTCCTATCAAATACACAGCTGAATAATAAAGAGTCATCACAACAGTGTGAATCATATTGCAATTGCAGTTTCAGTTCAAATAATTTCAATTTCAATTTCAAGTCATGCAGCCCTATATGTAACCCTGCCTGGAAATCATAAACAAAAAAGTAAATCAGGTTTGGTGCAGCAGGTTTTCAGGAGGCTTTCTGACCTCAAAGTCCTGGTCCGAGAGGTATATCTCCAGCCGGAGGGGGTCCACTCCTTCAGGGAGGGGCCGGGCCTGCAGCTGGGCGAGGGGGAAGGTGTTCTGACAGAGCCGCGCCAACACGTCCTCCACCAGGATGATCTGGTGACACACCTCCGCCTCCTGCAGGCACAAATCACTGCATCAAGTCCTTTCAAAGTCAAAGTCAACTTAATTGTCAATCTTTCAGTTTGTGTGGACAGACAGAGAGATCCAAATACCGCTTCCCACAATGCCGAATACAAAAATATATATGTATGCAAATATGTATATACCTATATATACACACAATCAACAGACACATTTATACATATGCACACATTAAGACCTAAATAAAAGCACAACAATCAATATATACAAAAATAACGGTCACTTCAATATCTTTGAGAATGTACATTAGTGCAAGACTGTCCATAGCAGCGTACAAAGTGTCTGGTGCTGGATTTGATTTTAATGCATTATGTTATATTCAGAGGTGGAGGAAGTGCTCAGATCTTTCATTTAAGTAAATGTATTTATAGCACAGTGTAGAAAAAGCCCTGCTTTCATTATGTTAATTAAAGAGGAAATATTATGCCCATGTTCAGGTTTTATGTGTATTTTCTGCCTTTACTGTTGCCATGCTTTAATGTAACAGCAAAATGCGTACATCGAGGCTTCTTATATACAATTTATGTTTTTAATTAAGTGTTGTTAGAGCCATGAATGTCAGAAAGTGGTACTTTGTGTTGTAGATTTAATACATGTTTTTTGGTTGGTTATACTCGGTTATTGGTCTTTGTATATATTATTATGATTTATTATTTTGTGAACAATTATGGGTTGAATTAGTTGGGTCCCATGGTTATTGGCGGCCCTCATAGTAAATATAATCACCTGTGTGAAGTGTGTGTGTGTATGTGTGTGTGGGTGTGTGTGTGTGTGTGTGTGTGTACCCTCTCTGTGATCTCGGCCACATCCTCTCGGTGCTCCCAGCTGGGGAACATGTTGGTGAAGGTGAGCGGCTCCAGTCCGGCGTGGATCAGATACGACTTCTGAGGCTTCTTCTCGTTCTTCTCTGCAGGAAGGGAAAACACGATACTTCAGTACAAACCATGAACGAATGCTTGACAGAGGATTCACAAACAATCAAAAAACAACACGAACACACAATGAGAATGACTGTAGCCCTGCACATTTCATATGAGGAATTTGAAGTATCGAAACATAATATTATAATATATTAGATATCTCGTTCCCACAGCATTTATTTCATTGACTTTCTTACCTTTGCAGTACTGCAGCACCGTCTCCATGGCGCACTTTCTGTCGGCATCCCAACGGAAACGAGCCGAGCCGGTGCTCTCGCTGTCCTGCGGCCACCAGCCCTGCCACAGGTACACCTCGTGGAGGTTATCCACCAGGAACAGCGCTGTCAGGGAGAGGAACGGGTTTATTACTGCATGATATCTGTCAGCACAAGACATGGTCACACCACACACAAATCACGTCTCCACCGCTAAGCTAAAGACGGCTAATTATCGGCATGATGACATTTAGCAGGCTCATCTAGTCACTTGTTGGCAAATGCCATTTTTAGATTATTCACTGTCGTATTTTATGTCACACATACGAGACAAAAAGAATCAACAAACTCTTGAACTGTCAATAATAATGTTGCGGGAGAGACAGAGTTTATCTCTTGTCACAAATCTTAACCTTGAAACTTGTTCACTTTGTTTAAACTTCCTCTCGAGGGGATCTACTGTAGATGTTCTAAGTCTTATTTGTTGTTGATATATGTCTGCCAAAATCGGTCCTCAATAAATTAGTTCTACATTGTATGTATGTTTTTTTAATTTGCAATACGCTCTAGTGACTCACTTGTTGAAAAAGCCATTTTTAGATTATTTACTGACATATGTTATGTCGTAGAACAAAGTGTCTCTTCAGCTTGTTACCACAGACTTAATTTCAGGCTTCAAACCAAAAACTCATTCAGAAAACCCTTGACTTTGAGAAGAGGGAACCCGGAAGTGCTAAAACACTATTAAATAAATAGATTATTTAAAGTGCTTAAATAGGTATCTGCACAAGTACAAATGTAATGACTTTTAAGACCTTTTTAAGACCTCTAAAAGGAAAAAATAATACCAATACAAAAAAATCGATGAACTAGACAACAGTATAAACCGTTACTGAGTTGTATTGCATTTGAATAACGAGAAGTATTCAGTGTGCATTACCCAACATGGCAAACAAAAACAGAATGTTATGGCAGGAGTAGACCAATGGAAACCAACGTCCCCTCTGCACACTCATTCATTCTGCCCCAGATACAATGTAAAACCTCCCCTCCTAAAATTCCAGACCTTTTTAGACCTTGAATATCAAAAAAGAAATGACTTTTAAGACTTTTTAAGGATCCACGGGGACCCTGTCTTATCTTCTTATCTTAACTCCATCCCTGGTTTCCTGTTGGTGTGTGTGCCGGCTCACCAGGTTGCTGTGGAGCGTTGTACAGGTCTTCCTGCAGGAAGGGCAGGGAGCTGACCAGCTCTGGAGCTCTGGACAGGTGGAAGAACTCATTCGCCACAAACTCTCCAGATGTGCTGCTCAGCTGGAAAAGCCTCGGGGTGAAGTTGAATTTACCCGGGTCTGAAAAGGGAAATCAAAAGATAAATCAATCATCAAGGTTTCACCGGACAAATGCAGCACAGAGTTCTGGATCTATATTGCATGTTACATGTAGTATTTTAGTCATGGATGTAAAAACAATGGTTAACTACCAAAGCTTTAATTAAATACTTGGTCTTGTTTATTTCTTTTTAAGTTCTCCATTCCCCTGTTGTTTAATGTTGCCCTGTGTGTTTAGGGTAGGCGATTTGAGACGTTTGGCTTTTATTGTTAAAAATGTTTATAAATAAAAGCTGTTAATCTCAGAAAAGAAATATAACACAACAACTATTTTTTTCATAATGATACAATATGTTAAGTGCACTCTTTTAAATAGTATCCAGCCACATTGGAGGCCATTTAAATGTTTACATTTCAACCTCCATAACTTGAATTGGCCAAATTGAAGTTTCAAAATGTATGATCGATTGAATTTATGTCAAAATAGAACTGTTCTAGCTGTGTTTGAGCTGAGAGTGAATCTACAAGTGTATATTATTAAGTAATCAGATGACGTAGTTACCTTGCAGCATGCAGTCGTAGGCCTTCCTGTCTTTTCTCCTCAGAGCCTCCCAGAAGCCCTGAGGCTCCGCCCCCTCGTCACACTCATGGATCGTCACCTTGCTGCTGCTGTGAAGCCCCGCCTCCAGAGGACACCTGAGGAATGAGAAACACAATATAATCTGTGCACAAGAAAATGTAATGATGTTTCAACTAAAAACATCCACCACCGACCAGTTGTGATAATTATAACCCTATAAAGCCGACAAAGACAGAGGAGCACATGGACATCGTTTCATATGTTTGCCAAATGCCTTCAGACAGTATCAAGTGTTGTACATTATATGATTCTGGAAAACCTCCTTCTTCTCTCTAGTGCAGTGTAAAGTCACCATCTCTCCTTAGTGTTAGTAAATCATATTTCACATACGATATGATTTACGATATTGGAAGGATTGATCATTTTTGCATTATTATTCTCATTATCATTGAATGATATGTTTAAAGTGATCATAGGGGGATTTTAAAGAGGACCTGTACAAAACAAAGATATTTTATTAAGTGCGTAGGGTACATTGTGAAGGCTGGGACATCTATGCAGTTCATTCAGAATAATATTTACAAATATTGTAGCTCATAGTAGCCCATTAAATTGCGTCCCAACAGGCGATTGGATATTGTTCTGAGCCAGACTCTGTATGACATGATAAAAAGAGTGACTGTTTTCGCACATATTATCTAAAATCTCCTTCTAACCTTTCCTAATGATGGTTCCAAAAGTCCGTACTGAACTGGGGAAGAGGTTCAGTTACGCTGCTCCTGAGGCTTGGAACCAGCTGCAAATTGAGCTGAAACTCAGAGAGCTGCTTTCTTTAAACAAACTCAAAGCGACTCCAAGTGACCTTGAAGCCGCTGTGGCTATAAATGCTTTGGCTAACTGTTGTATGACTGTGTTGTGATTGTGTGTTTTAAAATGGTCTGTAACTGTGCTGTTACCATTCTTGGGCCAAGACTCTCTTGATTTTGTTTTCTCAATGAGACCTATCCTGGTTAAATAAAGGTACAATGAAATACAAATAAATAAAATGAACAACTCACTGTTCTTTGATCTTGTGAGCGGCCGTGCTCCCCACGCTGCGGGTGTGCAGCTGCGTCTTGCAGCCGTGCCACAGGTAGATGATGGCCTTGTTGATGTTGAGCAGGATCATGGAGGCTCTGGAGCGCAGAGAGCTGCAGTGACTCGCCACCTCCAGCAGGTGGCCCTCCACCGGCACCTCGCCCCGCACGCAGTACAGACGCCAATCGCCTGCACACAGACCATACATCGCTTATTTATACAGTATATATATAGCTTTATTTTATTTATTCCACACATGGCAGTTATTTTAAAACAGAACATGTACTGGTTGTTTTTTAGTTTTGTTTTTTATAGCGCATGGTGGAAAGGAGCAGGGAGTCGAAAATGAAATAACCATAAAAAAGTCAAATTAAAGCAATATTCTTTCAGTCACAAATATTGAAACATAAAACCAGAACAAAATCAAAAGTCAACTTCATACTGTCTAATTACGCTTTCCTTATACATGTTCTTAAACATAAACATGTTCTTACAGCCCTTTAAATCATGGACAAGGACCATGCATCGAGATACTTTCATCCACAAAAACATGATAAAACAATCATGACATACGTGAAACTAACAAATCCATAACCCATTTTTTGTAAGTATATTACAAAAGATACCTGACTTTATTTCCTTTACTTTGAAAGCTGTACATAAGGAGAATAAAAATATTTCAAAAGTTTACTCTGATTGTTCTCCTCCTCCTCCTCCCTCTTGCCAGCGTGGACGATCATCCCTCCGTTGAAGCACTGAAGGAAACATGGAGGCTCTTTCCCCTGCTGCACCTGGACCTGGAACACAGAGAAAACAAGTGATGAACATAATGCAAAACACTACTTTAAGAGTCAGATTCTTAACGAAATCTACTAAAACAAAGTACTTCATTATCTAGTGTTCAGCTTTTATCCACAAAAATGTATCTTTCAGTAACTTTTTGAGAGAATTAAGCATAAATCTGTCAAATGTTGAAAACGGCATTGTTTCACTGAAATAGCGTCAAAATCACAAACTGCCATTAATGACTTCATAAAGGTATCTGGATAATTGATTGATGTAACATCTGAATATCAATCATTACAACAAATATTTATTGCATTCAATTTGACTGATTTGGGATTTGATTCTTGATATTGATGGGAATGAGCATTTTTACATCATAAATTATCATTATCATTGATGAATAGATTCAAATAATGATTTTTTTAAGAAGATCCACGCTTTGTCATTAAGAATAATTGATGTCTTATTAAATAATTATTCTAAAAAATAAAAAAATGACACCGTTGACAATTTTTTTTTGTCCACATTGCGATTTCGATAACATTTCAATTAATTGTGCAGCCCTAGTTTGTGTCTTATCAGGGACACCGAACATCCAAACATTACCATTAAATCGCTGAAATATTGAATTGTCTACTTTTTACTTTGTTATATTAGAAGCCTCCTCTCTTGTACCTGCGCTCCTCTCTCCTCGTCCAGCTCCACCGTCATCAGCGCCGACGTCCCTTTCTCGCTGACGGTGGAGTTTTGGCCCTGCCAGAAGAAGTAGCAGCATCGCTCCTTCCCCGGCCCGCTGCTCCTCACCTCCGGGTTCTGCCGGCGACCCACTGGGACACAAACAAATCAACAAACTGTTCTGAACCGTCAATAATACTGTTGTTAATGTGGGGGAGACAGAGTTTATCTCTTGTCACACTCTGGACATCTTAACCTTGAAGCTTTAACAAATAGCTCTCCTCACTTTGAGAGGAGATTTATGATCAGAATTTCATGTTTTAGGTTTTACTAGTTAACCCAGTCATATACTTTTACTGTTTTTGGGGTGACATCATAGGGTGCAGCTGGGATTTGCCATAATGAATAACAACAACAAAATAATTAAAACATTTCAAATGAAACTGTATACGTGTTTATCTATGTGTTTTTTATGACTCATCTGAGTATTTGACTCTATCTGAATCTTCCAGATGAAGAACATCTCACCTTCCTGATATTTATGAGCAAGCCTGAAAGATGTTTATTTTAAAGATTAAGGCTTTCAAATGTTGTGGTGCTTTTGAATGTAAAGTTCCTCAAACGAGTAATACATCATTGTCAACTTTTACAATCTCTAAAACAAAATGATAAGTATTTTGTTGTAAACTCATTCACTTTGTTTAAACTTTCTCTCGAAAGGATTTACTGTAGATTTTCTAAGTCTTATCTGTTGTTGATGTCGGTCAAAATCAGTCCTCCTCACTAAACAGGGTATGTTTGTTTTATAATTTGTAATACGCTCTAGTGACTCAATTTTTTTCTTTATACTATCGAGGTCGTAATTTGCCTCGACAAGTAAACTCAGGGGCTGGAGTCCATGTAACTTATTATTATTCTTTATTAGGATCCCCATTAGCACTCGCATGAGCATTGGCTATTCTTCCTGGGGTCCTCACACACACAGAACATACATAAACTGCATTTACAGTGCTATATGAAATGAAAACTAAAATGGTCATCCAATGTTAGTTATCATAAGGCCAAACAAAAAATGAAATAATAATTGCACATACTAATACATAAATACCCGCAGGCACAGTTCAATTACACTTTATAACACCGAGATAATTTTTTTGCAAACTTTTGAAATGTACTTGAGATGAACTAACCTGAGGTGTTGACCATGTACTTCCACTTCACCACGTAGGCGTCTCCCTCGTGGAACTGGCCGATGCTCTGGCGTGGCAGGCGGCTGTAGTCGAACTCCAGGATGTGCCAGACGTCCACAGAGGCCGTGGTGATCTCCTGAATCCTCATGTGGTCCTCCGTCTCCACCGGGCCGTGGCCGCGTCCCACATTCGTCCCGTCTACGATGGTGGAGATGGACGTCTCGAGGACGGGGAGCATCAGGGTGGCGTCGTAAGGCCGGCACTCTCGCCCCTGGGCCTCCTGGGAGAGAACAGGGGGGAAAGATAACAGATAGGATCTATTACGAAAGTACATTTTAGGACGAAATCATTATAACACACATCGATCCTTCGGGGACTTTTAGTGTGTGTATATCTGCAACTCTTGATGCCTCAAAAAGGGCCCTCAAGTCCCATTATTTGCCAAGGCTTTGGGCCCCTAGTTTATTTGTTGTTTTGTCTGTCTGACTGTTTGTTTGACTGTTTGTCTGAAAACAGCACCAGACTTCAGACTATCATTAATGGTCCGGCCCTCAACAGCTCTATGTCAATTATGGGATGTCATCATATGCCGTTTCCATGGCAACGCATCGCTCGCAAAAAAATACGAAGTTGTAATTCAATGGAAAATGGTCCAAACAAAACTCTTCAAATGTCGTTGCTATGGTAACAAAATGGTCAAACACGGTTTTCTCATAACTCCAGTTAACATGCTCCAAATGGCACAAAACTTCACAGGTTTGATAAAGATGCGGCCCTCAACACATCTAAGCATATTATGGGGTGTCATCAAATTCCGTTGCCATGGCGACAGATCCTTCGCCATCAAACACAATGTTTGTGTTACTGCTGTAACTCAAAGACATTGTCCGATCGGCCTGAAACTTCCCACGTTTGCCAACGGCCGAGTCCTCGAGACACCTAGACACACACGTCGACGTGCGGACAACAGCCTGCGGAGCGTCGAAGACCTGCTCAACGCTGCTTGCAGCTTTAATTTTAATTATATTTGTATATATTTTTTAATGATTTTATTTGTTTGTATTCCATTTATTTATATACATATAATATTTGTACATTTTCTTTTATCGCTATCATTTAAAATCCAAGTGTCTTATAATGTGTTATTCATTATTCATGTTATTGATTGTATGTTTATGTTGTGTATACTGGCATTATCCCTTGTTATTGAAACAAAACAAGAAGTTAGAATAAGACGTTTTTAATACCATTTTAGTTTTCTATTGATTACTCATGAACGATGTATTCTCTATGATGCTTTGAATGGCATCCACTACAAATACGTATGGTCTATATTCCTATTCCTATTGCCCAGTGTGTAACCAACTGTTCCTGGCAACATGAACTGATGAGCCGCAGTAAACAGATGAAGAGATAGAGCTATGACGACTCTCTGCTGTGTGTGACCAGTGTGAATAATGCAATCCTCATGGGATAAGAGTCAGATGTTCACCTTCTGCTCAGGTACGATCTCTCCGCCTCCTTCCTTTGGTGTCGGCGACTTTGCTTCAGTCCAGTCCACAAACTTCTCCTTGAACAAGATGGTCTCGTTGTGCTCTGTCAGCCGGCCGAATACCGCCCAATCAGGACGGCCCTGGCCCTTCCTGTCAGCCACACGCCCAAAGACAAGGAGAAGGGATGTCAAGATTACACTGTGAGCTATGCTATATCAACAGACAGAGCTTCAATTACATTAAGCTCATTGAATTAGTGTGAGTGTGAATATGCAGGTGTAGTTATGAACAGGTACAAGAGTGTTTTTATGTCCTCTTTGTTTTTTTAGGTATAGTAAATATATTGTAGCGATGACGGACGGAATACAAATGTGTTTGCGAGTGTGTGTACTTGTAATAGTCATGTTGTGGGGACAACAAAGCATTCAGCAGTCATATCAAAGGGATTAATTTGAAATGTACTTATACTGGTGGCTTAAGATAAAATAAAGCTAAAATAAAAAGCTTGCCTTGGCTGCTGTCATGTTTGAATATTTTTTGAGCATAGCAAACAACATAAAGATTTCTGTGATAATGTGCATAATGACGAACAATTCCTTTGTAACACTATGCATCTTGTAAACAGTTGTGTTTATATTTTAGTTTTTGAAGTTACTCGCAAACTCATTTTCCAAAATGAACCTCAAATAAAAATTCTGTGTAGTTTCTTTACTTATATTTGGAATATATCCTTCAAAAAATGAAACAAGTCAATTGAATGTGGCTGCAAGTGATAACAAGGTGTGTGTGTGTGTGTGTGTGTGTGTGTGTGTGTGTGTGTGTGTGTGTGTGTGTGTGTGTGTGTGTGTGTGTGTGTGTGTGTGTGTCCCACCTGGGTATGAGTGTGTTGCAGCCCCCGGGGTCCAGCGGGTTGACGTCGCAGCAGGTGTAGTCAAACGTCCCGTTCCAGAGGTGTTTGGCGAGCTGGAAGGCGACCTTCCTCTGAGCCAGAGTCACCTCTTTACCGTGCCACACGTACACCTCACTGCCGAAGTCAAACACCAACACCTGCAGCGTGTAAACAACAACAACAAACACAACAACAAACACAAGAAGAAAGCATGAGTGAGTTTTCTTTTGATAATCCATGTCAAGCAAAATGGCTAATGAATATCTAGGTCCCCTATAGTGTTTAAAACCCATTTATTTGTGTATGTAAGACCAAATGGAGAATAATTAACATAAATAAATAGTACAATGAAAAAAAAAAAATCTTAACTTGGGAAAAATACAGACAGCATTTAACATAAAAACACGTATCACAACAAACGGCACAAATATGCCAGTAGATTTAAAAGGCCGTAACATGTTCCATCATTAATATGCAGAGCACTGATTGGTGTTAGCCCCGCTGTCCTGAACTCATTTCATTTCCTTCATCAGTGCACAGATGGATGCAGGACGTGCTCGCCATGACACCTGCTGTTGCTAAGCGACAAAATAAAACCCAGCTCGAAGCAAAAACTATTGATATTCAGAGCTTGGTCCTCTAGAGGAAAAAGTCACCATGTCATTATAACATAACAGGATGTAAAGTTAGGTATGTAAGAGCTCTTGTTTTGATGCTGCGCTACATTCTTGTTTTCAGTTAATAGGCTTTATAACTAGGTTTAAGTACAAACACCACGCCTCAAACACATCCAATTTCCGCACACTAAGGCGTTTAATCTCCCCTGATCTGTTTACTTCCTCTTTGATTCAGTTTTCATATGCCTCAAACTCTCTCCCTCTAATCTCTCTTTTGTTTGAAAACAGGAACCACTGGGGGCACAATCTTAATCAGATTACATGAGGAGACGGCTCCCCCTTCTCCCCCTTCTCCCTCCTATCCTCCCATCTTCCCACCTTCAGCTGACACTCATCACTCTCTTCATCCATCTGTCCACGACTCATCATCATCATTGTGGCTCTCCTACAACTTCTATTTGAAATGAACTCTTCTAAACCCATATCCTTATAGAGTTGTGCACTGATGACGTATTTTTGTAGGCTGACCTGGAATTTAGCTACGAAACGGCGCCCTCGATTAAAAACAATGGGATTATTCCATTGCCTTTTGGAGCACAAATGATGATCTGTGGCACATTTGTGATACTTAAATGTTTTGTTCAGCAGGACAATCTCCACTATTAACACCACTTCTATAATACTGTAGGTGAAGCGTAATGCAAACGGATGAAGTGAATAGCTAATGTTGGGATGTAAACTAACTAGATCACGCTCGCATGACTTCACGTCACCACCGCTAAGCTAAAGGCGGCTAATGTTCAGCCTGATGAAGTTTAGTAGTCTCATTTGGCCGCTTGTTAGCAACTGTTGTTTCAGTCATCTAACCAAAAGCAAGTTACAAAACCCATTGTCTTTGAATCAAGGGATTGATACATTCATTTCTCATGTCCAGGTTTCAGGACTCATTCCTGCACCTCTCTTTTGACTATAATCCAACCCAGGTTGAAAACACTGACCTCCTTGGCGGCCAGCAGAGAGCTGCGAGGGACCTTCCCCCACTCTTCATCGTCAGGAACCAGTTTGTCGTCCAGCAGTCTGAAGATGCAGTTTGTTTCTACAATGGCATTCTCAAACTGCTCATCTTCCTCTGGTGGACCGGCCGCTATAAGCACAATCAGAAAGACATCTCAGTGTGCATGCATCGGAAAGGGTTAGCAGGGTATCTGTCCAATTCATAGTATAAGGAGAACTAGATACGGGGTTGAAGAAGGGACCCATCCATTACTATGGAAGTTGCTCAGTGGCACATGAAGCCAAAATGTCTGAGAGTGGAAAAATAACTGGATTCTGCTTTTACCACATTTTAGAACTTAAAGACCCTAATGATTTAAATCAGGGCTGTACAAGTGTTCATTCTGGGTCGTTTATTTTTAAAACTGATTTACAGACATATTTTTAGCTCCGACGTTATCTGTCTTTGTATCGGTACTGGAGACATGTTAAAAATATTTATGCATGTATTCGCTATGCAGTTTTAGTGTCGCCAACTCCGTTTCTAATACGTAAAAAGACTGCAAAATATGATTATTGTTTGTATTTTCGATCTTTCCAATCCAGACGAGATCTCTCTCCCCCCGCCTGCTTGGGAGGGGGCGGGGCAGTTTACACACACGCAGCTGCTACATGCAGCAACACACACACACACGGAGATGGCTGAGAGAACGCGCTCCGAGGTGTGGTTCAACTTTACCCGTCTCGATGCTCGTTGCCTAAAGTGCAATAAGTGTTTAGCATGTAAGGGCGGTAACACGAGCAATGTGTCTAAACATTTAGCAAAAGTGCTCCACATCCAGACGGAGGAATGCACCGGGTTCGACTGTCTTTCTCGTAGCTCTGTAGCCCCGTCCACGAGTAACGTTTCCACGTCAGGTGTTATGTATGCTAGCAGCAACACACGGAGTTAACTACATGATACAAACATGGGTTAATGATTAGAGGAAACTGAGTTATTTATTTTGTTAAAGTTTCAGCTATTCTGTTTACAGTTCTGTCATCAGATTATTTAATACGATTTGTTAAAACATTGTTGTTTCTTTTGATGTGAAATATTATGTATTTAATTTAAATAAAAAGCAATGTTAGATTTGTTCACAATTTGTTTAGTTAGTTTACCTTTTTTTTTTCTCCAAAAGAACCGATAAAAGACCGGATCGATAAAAGTAGTAGTACCGTTAAAACGATACCCATCCCTAACTGTGTCTATTACTGGACATCAATTACAGCTGCTTTCACACACACATGTAAATATATATATATGTTTTAATTAATTTCTTATTTTATAGTTATTTTATTATTTTGATGTTGGATTTTATCTTTGTATTAATCTTTGTGAATCTGTGCTGTCCTGTTTTTCATTCTTACCCTGTTGCTGTTAAACCACTGAATTTCCCCACAGGGATTAATAAAGGTCCATCTTATCTTATCTTATCTTATCTTACAACAATATATTTTAACTCCCGGCTCACTTTAATAAAATGCAAATGGCTTGCTTGAAATGTTGAGAGCAACAACTTGATCCTTCTTGTGCGATCTGATCATTAAAGGATCATGTCTTACGTTGGTAGGCGGTCTGTCCTCCGAGGACGGTCCAGAACTGCTGGGCCTCTGCAGCCTGAGGGTTGGCTGCTTCCTCGATGGTCAGCACCTGGACCGCCCTGCAGCCCATGTCCTTCTTCGTCTGGATGAAGGTGGCCATATCTTTCGCCTGCAGACAGGAAACACAGATGTTTAGTTTGGCGACAGAGACAATGGTGATTTCTGTTTGCTGTGTGCCTAGTTCTGCGTCACATGCATCCACACATTTGGACAAAAGGTACGATTTAACAACTGGGTCAGATACTGAAGACAAAGTGATTTAAATAGACTTTGCTGAATCGTGATCAAATGATTAACAACACTGAGCAAGGAGGAGTTTATTACAAAGTGTCTAGACACATCTCCTCTGGGGAAAGGAAAGAGATGTAGCCAGGAGGAGTGTGTTTGAAAAGGAGGATGGGCCTATGTGCCAAGTGTGTGTTAGTGTGTGTGTTAGTGGAAATGAGGCAGAATTTTGTATGACTCATCTTTGTCTAAACACTAAAACCCAGTAGCATTGATTCTAGACGTCCAAACTAATACTCTCTCTAAGTCTAAGGCACCGTATGTAATGATTATTAATGAAAGATATAATAACGTTTTAGCGCCCACCTTCGACTTCTCGATAACGTTTGAGAACTCTCCGATCCAGACGAAGCAGTGATCTGGAGTGACCAACAGGAAGCAGTCGCCGCTGTTCAGCGATGAGGCTCTGGGCTCCACTAATCTGGTCTGAATGTGACGACGACCTGGAAACAAAGAGTCATACCTTTCAGTTCCTTTACAGAATATCATCTCTGACACATTTATGAACATGAACACATGCAGTGAAAAAGGCAAAGAAGCATTTATGATGGATTGAGGGTTTGGGAAATACATTCATTTGCTTTTTGGATTCTTTCAGTTTGGTAAACAGCATAACACTGAGACTAGACTTCAGTATGGATCTGTATGGACATGTCACAGTTAAGGGCCAAAGTCCATCTCCCTCTCTTTTTTCTGAACAACATTTTATGTTGAATATTGCAGTACCATTTCTTATTTAAATTGTTATGTTTATATAAATCGTTTTATTTAATTGGTCCTTTTATTTGAAATCCAACTTAAACTTCTAATGTTTTTATTGTATTGCACATTCCTTCTTTAACTTTTTAGTTATATATAAACATTTGTATTTATTTTGTTTGAGGACATTTTTATTTAATTCTATTCTAAATTTGAGCCAAGGTTCAAGGTTCAAGGTTCAAGGTTCAAGGTTCAAGGTTCAAGGTTCTTTATTTGTCATACGAACATAGCTACAGAGTATATGTCGATGAAAATCTTAGGTCACTTCTCCAACAGTGCAACACAATAATACAGAAAAACAGAAAAATATAATGCAAGTAAATATTAAAAAGTAAATACAAAAAGAAAAATAGTTAAAAAAAAAGTGAAGTAGTGAAATAAGAGTCTATATGCAAGCTATTGGAATGATATATTAGATAAATAGATAAATAATGACTAAGTAGCAGATGAATGTTATCCCAATAGAAACCAATTATCCCGGAAAACATTTTTTTTAAAATTCTGATTTAAGCCTGAAAGTGATATATTAGTTTGTTACCTTTGAGCTGCATCAGCATGAGGTTCTTGTACGGCACGGCGCTGTTGTTGGACATCTGCTCGGAGATGTTGACGCTGCGCAGACTCACGCTGCTGAAGTTTTCTTTACTGGCCAAACCCGCCAGAGCAGCCTCCGAGTACTCAGAGGATTTATTAACTGGAATGAGAACGGGTACACATTTTATGAAGAAAGAAAATAGTCCTACAGGGGAAAGAAAATACAACATAAATGCTTCATTAAACTTTAAAGAAGCTAAACCCCCTTCTGTAAACACCGCTTCAGAAGTGGGTCATATGAGGCTGCATTCCAATTAGTGATGTTTACCCAATGAAAAAAAGATAGATGTAGTTTTGTAGGCTGTAAACAATGATGATGTTCCTCATTTTCCACTGGGACTTGTGACATCAAACAACATGACAAGGATGCAAGTCTCTTTCCTCAAGTCACAGACATGTTTATACACACCTTCGGCTTCTCGTTTACGCTCGCTCTTCTCCGCCTTCATCCTCTTGCTCTCCAGCTGAGCCACGTTCAGCCTCTGCTCCGTGTACTCGTGTCTGATGTCCTTCCTGGCCGCCAGCATCTTCACTGGGTTTCTGGACGCCTGCACGTTCCTGGACGGACGCACCGAGCGCTTGTGCTGCACCATGGCCGACGTCAACCTGGAGAAGAGAAAAGGATATGCAAGAGTGGTGTGTGAAGTTTATATTAGATATTTTCTGTAACTGCAGGGGAATACGGTTACAGTATTTCAAAGTCAAAAGTCAAAGTCAACTTTAATGTCAATCTTACTCAGCTTGTGTTTACAGACAGAGAGATCAAAATGACGTTTCCAACAATCCCAAATGTAAAATTATACAGTATACAGATATGTATATCCTATATACACAATCAACAGACACAATATAAGTTTGTAATATAATTATGTTATACCATGAGATTGATTCAGTTACTCCCCAGCCCTGAGAGTACCTCCTTACCAGGGTTCATACACTTTTTCACCAATGATTTTCAATGACTTTTCCATGACTTCATGACCTTTACCTAATTTTCCATGACCAAAATAAATTACTCTTTCTCAGCGGTGCCACTGAGAATGGTTTATTTTAACATGGAACAGGAAAATAAGGTCTGCATCTGAAACATGTTGTGCCTATCTGAAACAAATCAAATAGGCTTACTAGCTTCTACACGCTAAAGCAACTCAAATCTCTCACCAGCAAAATACCTCGTCAGTTAAATGCCATTTTACGTTTCATTACTATACGACACAGTATTTATTATCATTATAGTATTACTATTTCAGCGATTAGCTAAAATATAAATTATATTTGATGCAACTTTAGTTACATTTCCATGACTTTTCCAAAATGTTGGGAAAAATATTGTTTTCCAAAACTTTTCCAGGGCCTGGAATTTCCATGACTTTTCCAGGTTTTTAATGACCGTAAGAACCCTGCCTTACACATATGATAATCTACAATAATATCAGGGGGGTTATCATCCAACCATCTTGGTAATATTGTGAGGTGTGTAGGAAATAAAGCGTACCTGTGTTTGCGTTCATAAACACAGTCTAATCCAATAAACAAAGTTATATGGATTTAGAGTTATGTCTATGCAAAATACTTTCACCCTTTAGGCCTATATCTATGATCCCTACTCTTTCCTCTCCTATATACATTATCTGTGACTTTTCTATATTCACCCAAGCTCCTGATGCCCTACTGTACCATACAATTCTACACTATCCAACACTTCCCTAACACTTTCTCTGTCTTTAACTGTAATGGTGGTATCGTCTGCATACTGATAAACTAAACGAACCCTCCCCCTGGTACCTCTACTCCTCTGATGTTGCCGTTTTGCCGCTAGGGGCTCTGCTGACAGCGCATACAACATGGCCGAGTGAGTGCATGTTGTTCAATCTCTCTTTGAATTGACCAACAAAAGCTTTATCTTCTTACTTTGGACCCTGAGAGCCAAAGATGGCGTCAAAGTCCTCACTGATCTCGATCCTAGTGGGCATGCGTGGGAATTCGGCGACGCGTCTGTAGAACTTGGAGAAGATCTCGTCATCCAGCTTCATCACTTCCTTCACTGCCATCTCTGTGACTGTGATGGTGGTTTCCTGCAGTCCGGCCACTGATCGAAGAGAAACACAGAAGAAACTATTTTAGGCTTTAAAAGAAAAACAAAACAAGAGTAGAATTTGACAAAATAGCAGGAATGCATGCTCTTGAAAAACCTACAAGTTAAAAAGGAATTCTATTTTTTTCAAGAGGACAAAAAACATTGCTTTATAGGCTTCCGGTAATGCAAGCTTATTTGTTTATTTATAAAGCACATTTTAACACAGGGAGTGCTTTACAAAAAAACATTATAAGCATTAAAATAGATTGCAACATTTAAAAACAGACCTTAAAGGTGGGGTAGGTAAGAATGGAGAAAGCAGCTCGAGTGCGCTAGAATTTGAAAGTACGCAGCCGAAAAAAATCTGCCCCTTCCTTCAGACTTCCTCACAGAGCCCCTCCTCCAACACACACGAACGCGCACATGACCAATGAGGGCATGAGATAAGTTTGTGCACAGATGGAAGGCTGACAGGCAGGTAGGCCGTCCAGTTATTTTAGCCGGGTCGTGCTTTTTACAGCGCCACAGATGACATTCTTTTATGGATTTATTGTCAAAGCATTTAATGTATTCATTGCTATCGGGATGTTAAGAGCATTCCATGGAATATAACAACAAGTGTTTCTGAAGTGAACTACCTACCCCACCTTTAAAGAGCCAAGATAATACAAATAAAACAAGCTAAATAGAGTAGGACAGGTATAAATACAAGAAAGAGAGTTACAGTGCGGTGCTTAACAGCAAGAAGTGCATACCTTTGCTATTCAGGCGTCCCAAGAAGCTCTCCAACTTGTCAAGTTTCTTATCCGTTTCCATGTCTGGTCTGGCCTCAATTTCTATAATGAAAATAAATCAATCTTACTTATGGTGCATACAAGATCTGTTTATCTTAAACTAACAAAAACATTTACATAATTTTGTCTTTTTCAACCTGTTTTCAAGTTATTTGTTCAATGTTTTTAACACATCATATAGATCGTATCGTATAAGCTTAAAAGTCAAGTCAAGTAAAAGTCAAGTCCACTCCTGTCGCTAAAACAACAATGAAAATGAAGTTGATTCAGGTTTAAATCACAGCTGTTGGTAAACTGGGATTTCTTTAGCAGAGGTTTCATGAATGACGAAGGACTTAGACATCTGTCTCACCCTCTTGTGGTTTGTTGACAGCCGGCACGCTGCTCTTGAGTTTGGTGGAGACCGGTGACAGGATGGGACTGATAACTGAGGACGTGGCTGCCAGGCCTGCAGACACACGGACACACATTCACACCAGATATATATTATTATACAATATCTAATTTAATAAGAAAAGATACCAATTAATGCATCTTTTTTTGTTTAAAAAAATAAAGAAATCATGATTATTTTGTCCAATAAAAAGGAGAGTATTTCAGAATCAGAATATCTTTATTAGTCCCAAAGAGGGGACATTTACGTAGTCACAGCAGAAAAGAGCCAAAGACAGCTTAATGTTACGTAGAAGCATGCTTAAAAAAGTATTAGAGTAAAAAAGTTATAATATAATAAAAAGTTACACAATTTACAAAATACGCATCCTGTAACAGTTCTGAGGATTTAGCAGCCAGGTATATATTACAGTTATTAACGGCATGTATATATATATTGCACATATTGCACATAGTTGGTTGGTATTTAACAGCAAGGGGTGTTATAGTCTGTGTTGTTGTGTGTGGGGGGGTCTTGTTTGTGCATAACAATCATATCCAGTAGCCTTTTAAATGGTGAACCCCTCAAAAAGTTGGATGGGTTAAGACAGGATGGAGCTCTGACCTTTCTTGACCATTCGAGAGGCGACGGTGTACTGGATGGAGTCGTTGGCTGCTCCTTTGCCCTTAGTCTTCCAGGCATCCTCTCGAACAGAAATCATCTGTTTTCTCTCCTCAATGGACATCTTGGCCTCGATGTCCTCTCCCACCTTCTGCACAGACAATTAAAGTGAGAAAAACCATCAAGTTATTAAAGATTTTAAAGCTGCACGTCTTTCATGCAATGCAATAAACTCTGCAAGGCCATTTTAGAGATATTTCCTACACACGTGAAAGTGCTGCATTAAAACTTCAAACGAGATCATGGAGCCAAATCAAAAAGCTTCCAGACGCCACTTGATCCACTTTGAGTCAGAGAAGTACACCGCCTCTCACACAGCTTCACATTAACTTCATGTGACTCCACACCTCTTCCCTCGGGAGCGATTATTCATGAAGTCACAGTATCAAACCGAGCAGATATAAGGAGATTTCATACACTCGAGCGGGCTATCTGCATGTCCTTTCTAGCTGATATGAAGTACTTTATTCTACCGTAGGAGTGATGGATATACACTGAGATCAAAGAAACAAACAAAGCAGGAGTTTAAGACTCCGGTACATGCAGCGTGCCAGGTGTATGTCCTTACCTGACTATGATGGTCAATGTACTGACACTTTTGACCGAGGGATATAGTAGGAGAAAAGGTGGAAGAGAAGACAGGTTCCTGAGGATGTAGAGGTAGATGGAAAAGTGAAAGAAAGGAAAGCAAAGGAGGAAATGATGAGCATGCAGATGAAGGAGGATAAGGGAGGGATGCAAAGGAGGAGAAGAAGGCAAGAAACTGGAAATGTAAAACGACTCGCTATCTGTAAAAAGCAATGAATAATGTACAAAGAAATAGTTTTATGGTGTTAATCGATTATTTTCTGATAGTTTAGATATTTTTCCCCCACTTGTATGTTCTTTATAGTTAAATGTGTGTTTTTAAAGCTTTGTTATCTTTCCAGTTTTTAGCTGTTCATCTATTTCTGTGTTGGTACACTGAGAAACATGTCAATTACTCGTATGTTTGTACACATACTTTGCTTAAAAAGTGGATTCTGATTAGTTTAAATATGTTTTTTGGAACAAACACCATTTTGTTATCTCTGAGAAATAACTAAAGCCTTTCAAACGTAAAATGGATTGCTTGTGAATTAAAACACCATGCTTCCCCAAACCAAAATGCACTTCAAATCATTAAAGGGCATTGAATACAATTTCAATTCTAACTGTTAGGCGTAGTAGATGAATCAGCAAACTGCGAAAGCCGTTTCCCGCTCTTGTATTTTGTAAATCGAGACGGGAACAGCTTGCTCACAGAAAGTCACATATTAAATTACTGGTGCGGTGAAAACACAGCCCGAAGCTTAAAGGCACATTAAGTAATAGTTGACCTCAAAGTGTTATATTTACAGATCAAATCTATAGCGGTGTTTCATAACATATTTGTACCTCCTCAGATTCTTTCATTTAAATATGCTTTTAACAATGTAATACTTTACAGGCAAACAGCAACAATAAATGCCCTTAAAAATGAAATAATACTATATATATCATTTTAACATCAGAAATATATGTATTATGTATTATGTGTCTTTTAGACATGGGTTTTCTGAAGTGTATTCTTTGAAACAGCTTTCCCTCCTTTTTTTTTAATGTTGAATATATTTTTTAAGCCATAAAAGCAATGCAAAAGCAGCAGGAATGTGCTTAAAAACATTATTTGTATTCTTATCCAATTACTTTTTACTTTATACAACTAAATGTGTTTGTTTTTTACCTGTTCAAATGTGTAGCCATCATAGAATATATATATATTTGTTTGTAAGTGAATAACTGATGTTGTTGTCCACTGGCATAAAAGTGAATCCAAGTGGTACAAGATCTTGAAAATAGGATTTATATAATTTTACAGCAGTTTTAACTACATGTACAGAATGTATCAAAGGGCAAAACTAATGATATTCAGCCTTTGCATTACTGTACATCTACAAAGTACCCTTTAAGACAGAATCAGCAGATGTTAAGAAAGCTTAGAAAGCTGCAGCATGTGCCACCATTTCGGACTGCAGGGTAACAGAAGAGCTCCCAAAGACGGACAGATTAAGGAGGAGTGATCACACAAAGTCCACACAAAGCTGTGATTGGACAACACGAGTCGAGCACGCAGATGATTGGTTCACACCGGGTCTTACCCACAGCTGCTCAGACACAGACACAGCGGAGTATTCTTGAACGACCACCCCTTCCTCCTGAGGGGGTTTAAACACAGTGGAAGTTCTCGGTCAGAGGGAGAAAAAAGGGGGAGGAGGAGAGGGGGTTTTGTTGATGTAATGAGTTTAAGGGTGAGACTGCCTGGAGGAGTACCGTGCGGGGCTTAAACGGGCAGTTTCACCCAGCAGAATACTAATGTGCTGTAGATGAACTGCAGGAAAAACAGTCAACCCTGAAGCTCTTATATGTAGTTGCACATAAATACACTTTTAAAAGCATTTTCTTTCTGTCAAATAATCTTTTAAAAACAGAATTTACTTTTGTACGCTGCCATTAATTAAGAATTGGAATTTGCTTCCAGCTGAGAGTAAAACGTTCACAGACTTTTATTTTTCTCCAAAAAGTGCAAAAACAATGGATATTTAGCAACCAGTCATGTCAACAGTACTTACTTCAGTTTTAGTTAAAATGAATACTATAGTTACTGATAAATATCTTGATGTGTATAACTCTTGGTGTTATAAGTAAAGTGTGAAGTGTTTGTTGATTGTTATGTGTGTACCTGACAGATGGAAATCAGCTAATAACTAAATCTTCTCTTTTGTTTGTAAGATAATAGCGACGTGATGATAAAATAAATGTAGCCTTGAGCCTAATCTTTTCAAAGAAAGGAGAATCTTTCCCCCAGACTGCTAATTCTACACAGGCAGACAGTCCCATATGCTTCCTGGTTTACAGCCAATAGGGACTGGATGCTGCTCTGATCTGGACCGCTGGACTCAAACAACAGATGGACCAAAGGAGGAAATGAAAGCAGCACTTAGCTAACGGAGTATTGACAGGAGCTGCCATGGCAACCAAGAGGGATGGGCAGTGAAATGTGGCTAAAGCTGTTCAACCAGCACTGATCACTTTAACTTGACCTTTGGTCCAAAGCATTTTGTCTTTTTTACTCGTGTTAGATTGTAGATTTGTACTTGTATATTGTGACTATTGGTTTTTGTTACCTGCCTATGAACTATGGGTATAGAATTAGCATTTTAGCTAACTGTAGCATTTTTATGTTATGCATTTTATACTGATTTTAAGAACAATGTGCCTATCAAATAAATAAATAAAGCCAGAGGTTTAACTGTTTTAAGAGAACCTAGAAAAGCGCTATATTAATTAATAAATACAAAAAGGTCAATACAACATTTCCAACTCATTCCTACTGGTTATTATAACATATAAACATCTTTACCGCAGAGATTTCAGGGTTCTCCACCTCACACAGTTTTACAATGGCCTCCATTAGAACAAGCAACATAAGCTTGCAACTCTTCAAATGTTCATTCCAATGAAAGTGATGTGATTTGAGTAATTGATGATCAGACTGACCTTCCTCTCGCTCGTCTGCTCTGACTCCCACAGCTGAGTCTGCTGCTCGGTGGTCGCCACTTTAACCACTTCCTGCTTGTTGTTGATCCTGTTCCTCCAGTCATCTTCACCACTCTTCTTCAGCAGTGCCACTCTGAAACCATCAACATGTGTATTATCTTATCTTATGTGTATGTAGTGTCTCTCCTGTGACATGTCTCCATGCTTTAATGCTCAAAAAGCTCTTTATGTTTCTCATACTGCCTGTGCTGCAGCACCTCTTTTCACCCTCTGTCTGAAACCAGAGCCCAGTCTGCTCTGATTGGTTAGCTGGCCGGCTCTTTCGTGATTGGTCAACCTCTTAGAGATGTCCCGCCCCATAGCCTATCAAGTACAATGTGTCGGAGCGCTAGCCAATAGGAGCGCGAGTATGACTTAGTGATGTCAGCCGTAGACTTACATATCCAGCTCAGTAACACAAAACAATTGTGAGTTCTTTAGGCAGGTGGCCAACATCTTTAACATTTCAAATTCATCAGGGAACATTGTCCATCCACTAACATGTATGAGAACAGGACAAGCTTTTTCTCAGCATTACTATGGGAGTTTATTCTAGGGATAGATAAAAAAAACAAATAAAGTGAACAGTTACTGTAATGCAATTCCTTTATTTGCCTGAAAGTAAGGAAAATAATCATTCAAGAGTGAAAGATAGGTCAGATTTGAAGGATTGTTATAAAAACGGACTCCAAAGTGGGCGCTGATAACGCACGGCTGAGGGGTAAAAATAAAGTGTGTCAACCTCTCCGCTGCCTGAGTGTGGACAGGGCAGGAATGAGGGCATTAGGAGGAACCCCAGAGGATTTCTCCTCCAGTCCACACAGCTGCATGGGCGGAGGAACACATTGTTGCTAAAAATGAATCTCCCTCACCTCTAAAAATGTAAGAATCAAACCTACATACTGCAAGGACGGGGAGGAAGTGCCTGATTCTGTCAAACGCTGCTCATTAATCATGCTGCAGTTCAGTGTCTGATCTCTGCTAACATCTCGTAAAGCGCCGAGCTGTGACTGGAATCAGGGTTCATTTGTTCCAGCAGCTTTGCTACGCATTAGGTTTTAAGAAGCACCTTAGGGTTAGGGTTAGAGATTAGGGTTAGGGTTAGAGATTAGGGTTAGGGTTAGAGATTAGGGTTAGGGTTAGAGATTAGGGTTAGGGTTAGGGTTGGGGATTGACCTTGATTTTGAAAACCCTGTTCTTCTTTGGAAATGTGCAGCTGACTGAGCGTCCTTGTTATCCCAACAGGAAAGTATTAGGTTGTACTCCTGACCACGGATCCCATTTGTGAAGTTTTTACTGAAGTAATTGTCTTGTTTGTTTCTCCTATTATGTCTCTCTATGTCTATATCTTGAACAACAGCTGAACATCAGATATATCTCTTTTATGTCTCATATGATTCCTAAAATGGACATATACCAACCATTTCTTTGAGACAGATAGACCTTCCACTAAGACTAAATGAGTGTCTTCACACAGATTTAATCTTAAAATGCTAAAAGGTATGTATTAGGGACTGGTTGCCTTCATAAGAGATGAGCTACTGTTGTTCAAATCAGTACATTTTGGACAGGGAGCGGGGAGGAAAATGCAGCACAGAGGCAGACAGAGCCACATTTAGACTGGATAAGGTAAAAATAGCCTCCAGCCTACTATTACATCATTATTATTCAGCTTCTTATCACCAAATCATCCTGTTTCCTCTTAATATCCCTAGTCCCAGCACTGCTCTGCAACCCAGTGAATGGAAAGGTGACAAATATTTGCAGAAATTCACTGTTCAAATCCAATAAGATAAAATAACACCAAACGAAATTAGCCCTGTTCTTGTACACATCCCATATTCTATTGACATGTATATAGACTTTTTGCACAACTTTTTAGTTTGTATTTTTGTATTTTATTACATATGTTGCATTGTTGGAGGAGCTCAGGTCAGAAGAATTTCATTGCCATTTCCACACGGTAGCTTTGTGCATATGACAATAAAACCGTTGAATCTTTGAAAACAATGTTAGAAAAGAGTGATATAATTCCGAAATGCTGTTAGATCAGTGTTTTCGACCGATCTGGCAACTCAACTGACCAGCACTGTATTTTTTAACATCCATCATCCATAATTTCCACTCACCTCTCCCTGATGGACATCTGTTTGGCGGACATGCTTTCAGAAAGCAGCTCTCCAGACTCTGTGGGGGACAGCAGATCTCCAGAGTAGTCGCTGAGCCTGTCAAAGTCCTCACGGTGGTCCAGGGGGAGGGGACTGGGACTTGACCAGCGCCTGGGGGAAGGACTGGGGTTTGGGGGGCATCTGAGGAGGCACCTGGGGTTTGGTGGCTGTCTGAGCGTAAGGCTTGGGGAGAGGCTGGACGAATCCTGGAGGTTTGGGCTGCGTTTGTGGGGACTGAGTGATGGTTTTGGGCTGCGTTTGTGGGGACTGAGTGATGGTTTTGGGCTGCGTTTGTGGGGACTGAGTGATGGTTTTGGGCTGCGTTTGTGGGGACTGAGTGATGGTTTTGGGCTGCGTTTGTGGGGACTGAGTGATGGTTTTGGGCTGCGTTTGTGGGGACTGAGTGATGGTTTTGGGGAGAGTTGGTGGGGACTGAGTGATGGTTTTGGGGAGTGTTGGTGGGGACTGAGTGATGGTTTTGGGGAGCGTTGGTGGGGACTGAGTGATGGTTTTGGGGAGCGTTTGTGGGGACTGAGTGATGGTTTTGGGGAGCGTTGGGGGGGGCTGCGACTGGATGGTGACCACAGGTTTGGGGGGTGTTGGAGGAGGCTGTTGCTGCGTGAACGTTTTAGGAAGAGTTGGAGGCTGGGTTTGCTGCTGGCTGCTTGAGACGTGAGACACTGCCCTGGATGAGACTTTAGCGATCAGTGGCTTCAGGGGAGCGGGATGATCGGGCAAATCTGAAAGAAAAAGCAACACGGGTATAAGCATGAGTGAACTTCTAAGGTAAAAAATGATTAATGTGCTAATAATGACACCTATTAATATTCCTTTCGCTCATTCTTTACTTTCTTAATTTGACAATAAGTGCTTCAATGGATGTCTCATGAGGAAACCAGGGTTTTTTTTCCACTAAGGTTTTTAATGGCTCTGATGCCTCACAAGTTATTTAAATTCAAACTCTTATTAGCAAGCCATTGGGAACAATTCGGTGGGTTTTAGTATTCAAATTGATAGACTGAAGGCCAATCTCTGACATGCAAGTTATCCCATGCTTATACTCATAAACCAAAGTACTGATACGAATACCATTCAAAGTAAAGAGCCCTGTGTGGGTGTACATAACAGTATACTATTTTCAGCAAGATGAAACTCACTTCGATAATGTTTCACACAACTATTTGTCACCTTTAGTTAGTCAGTTAGCACAAGCACGGATGCTCAAACATCTACTATTTACTATTATAAGCGGAATTAAAGTCGTGAGAGATGTAACAAACGTCCTTGGTGGTTTATGGCTATTCTCTTAATCTCTAAATAACAGTATTGCCATTAAAATGGGAATGTTTGTTGCATTTTTTGTTGGTAACCATGACCTGTTTTATCAGGACTCATCCCTGACACAAATGTGTGCACTGGCATAGTCACATCTTTGGGGCTTTTAACACATTAGGAGCAAAAACGATGTTCCCAATGAGGGATGTACATGTTCCCACACTGATAGCAGATATTGATTGCTTCGCCAATAATATTTATGGCTACTTGTGATAAATTAGTTGTGATTTTAGGCTCATTTTATGAAGTTAAACTGCTTTATTCTATGGCGGAATTATCCTCTTACAACATTTACAAAGTTGAAATGTATATACTAGATTTTTTTATAACGAATGAATATTCAGTAAATCTATTAATCTATTTGTTACATTTAGTCTTTCAAAAGTTATTAAAGCAGTTTAAGTCAAGTCTGATGTTGCTTTACACATAAAATAAATACTGATAAAGACTTGTGTTAAGGTCAGGGTGAGGGTCAGTGTTAGGCGTGTAGTGGTATGTCTGCAGGGAATTAGTATAAGTCCATGCAACTCCTTCAGCCTCATGATCCTATAGTAATGAATCAACTTTAGTGAAGATCTACCCATGCAGCACTAAACAACATGCAGACAAGGCATCCATTGTGTCCTCCCTGTCCTCTACCTGCTTCAAGTAAGTGCCGGCCAATTGTTCTGCACTCTCTCACTCAGTGCTTTCAATTTGTGTGCACTGTTTGTGTGCACGCATGGGCAAAAAAGACCACCCCCTGGACCCATTCTGCATCAGCTCATAAAACCAGGTCAGGCCCATCATACTGTAATATGGTGCACATCGGGGACCACAGCCTCTTTTATAGGCCATGACAGTGAGCACACACAGTTTGATTTAAACCATCTCTGGCGTCAGGAAAAAAGAAAGGGGGCTTCCTCTTTCTAGACAAAGACAGCCACGAGGCAAATGCATGGACAAATATGCTAATTAGATGCAGCTTCAGACGTCTCTCTTTCAGCCAAATCAAACACCCCCAGCTGGGACAAGTGTGTGTGTGCAGCCGGCAGAAAGCTATGATGCGTGGGAGCATGCTGCATGAGACAATGAGGATAATGAGAACACCCCCGTCCCTAGACACTGTGTCACTCCCTTTCTCTTGTTCCTTTATGTCCACTCTTTTTCACACATCATTTGCTTTAGCTTTTCACATCTCTTTAATAATCTCCCCCCCCCCCGTCTCCATCTCTTTTTCCTTCTATCTCCTACCTGAGATGCCTGGCTGGCTCCGGCCGCCGCTCCTCTCCTGCTCCTGTGTGGAGGAGCTGTGAGCTGCCTCTCTCAGGTACCCTCCTCTTCCTCTTCCTCCCCCCTCCGCTCTCTCCCTGCTCTCCTGGGAGTGTCCTCTGTCTGCGGCTCTCCGGCTGGGCAGGGGCTCTGACTCTGCCCTCCACAAAGAGGAGTCTGAAGAGTGAGGCTGGGGATGCTGCCCGGTGTCCTGCTTTCCCTTAACGCTGCCGTCTTCTCTGGCTCCTCCTCCCTGCTGTCTCCCCCTGACCTCCTCCTCCTCCTCCAGCGCCTCCCTGTGACTGACAGAGGATGTGGGAGCCAGAGGAGCCCCCACTCTCTGCCGGCTCTCAGGGGGGAGAGGGGAGGCGTTGAAATCGGGCTCGGGGTGGCCGGGGTCCCCGCTCTGGGTCATGGAGAAATACCTCAACGCCCTCTCCTGGTGGCTGCTAGTGTTGCAGGTCGCCTGTTGTTGGGCAGGGATGTAAGGGACCGCCGTGGACTTCCCTGGACGGAGGTTGTCGTCGTTGTCTCCGCTGCCGGTTACTGTGGCGACGGAGGCTTGGGAGGCGACGGCTGCCACGGAGCGAACTAGGGACGCAGACAGAGGCTCCAGTTTGATCTCACCTCCGGTTTTCAGCTGCAGAAAGAACAGGAAACAAGTCAGATATATGAGATGGATAGAATGACTAAGGAAAGGGATTGATATGGAGAAGAGATATGGTGGTAAATCAAGGAATTTTTAGATGTATTCAGGTATGTGGGGATGTTACAGAAGGTGGGGATGAAGTGGAATGAAAAAGGTAGAAAATAAACTGATGGATGGACGAGAGGGAGGACAGCAGCAATCAAAAACAATTAGGGAAACATTTTGAGTAGTTGTACAGCAACTCTGTCATTCACAAAATGGCAGCAGGAAGCACAGATTTGAACACTAACTGAATCGTAAAAAACAAAACATACAAAGCATTTACCCTCCAGTTTACATCTGACATTCACTAGCTTGAACGCTGTGTCATTCAATGGTAACATTTGCTTTTTTTGTGTTAATATTTGATTGTTAACCAACTTTTCTTTTGATTTATATCATGGAGGGCATGGAAACAGTACATTTGAATATGTTAACTTGCATGTTTTCCATAAATGTGGGAATTGTAACTCTAGGGTTCATGCTCACTCTCATCAGGAATGTCTAGATCAGGAAAGGTAATAACAAATGTTGATGTAACAGCATAAAGTAGCTCACGTCAAGTCGACTTAAGATGCTCCAACTCTGCCCCAGATTACTGTCAATTATTTTAGTTGCAATACAATGTCTATGAAACCCCTTACATGCTTTTTATCTAGATAAGCATTGATGTTTTTAGTGGAAATTGCATTCAGATTGCATTCAAATAATCCCATGCTTGCTCTGCAATGTCAGCAAGCATGTCAGAGAAGCTTCCTTATCCAAAAATGAGGAGCCACGGAAAAACAAACAAGGCAGCCTGATCAACCATTTACAAACTTTAAAATACACACTTTAAAATGGCATTTAAAGGGGACCATCAGGCTCAGCTCAGCGAATGTCAGCAAGACAAGACAACATCGGTCACTAGCGGGACCAGAGGTCAATCAAAAGCAGATACATTCGATGCAACCAATCAGAAGCATCGTACAGGCATCGGAGGTCTTACATGTTGTCCCTTCATGGTCTTTAAGTCACCGTTACACACCTCAGAGGTGACTGGAGGATCAGCTTCCTGTGTGGACACGGGTGATTGAATACTGAGAATGTGGTTCAGGTGATGACAACCTAATACGAAGCGTGTTTGGGTTTCAGTGCATATAGAGTAGGAAGGATCGTCAATTATTATCTTATGTTTTTGTCCATTTGTGGACAATTTATCTGTGTTGCTGAGTCGATGTCACATTGGAGGATGTTTTGGCAATGTAAATGACAAAGTGTACCATCAACAACAATATATATGCTGTATATATCATGGGTTAGGGCAAATTCATGAATATGAGAATTGAGATTGACATTTTTTAAGATCCTGAATCGATTCAACATTTCCAAAAGATGATTTTTGTATATGTTGTTTCCTACAGAAGCATCTAGATATTGAGACAGTAATTCTACACACAAATACTTGTGCTAAATTCTTTTGAACTCATTTGAGGAACAATTACGAACAATGTTGTCTCTTAAAATAAGAATAGACTTTTATTCTGATTTAGATCCAGAAATGTACATCCCTCGTATACATTATAGTATAGTATGAGCTTTTACATGTGATCTAGATGCCACTGTATTAAAAGTAAAAGCAGAACAAACCCTGTGACCTCTGTTCATTTGGTAATATCTGAGTCTGCACAGAGAACAGTATCATTCATCCATCCCGCCCTAAAGGACGCTCCTAACTCTGTAAATCACACACTGCAGTGTACTGGAAGTGACCCGGAGATTAATCGCCCATTGCTCCAGGCCTTTTTACTGTAAGAAGACATCACATCCAAATAATCTTAAGAAGCAGCGTTGTTCATTTCAATATTTTGTCAGTGGGTTATTTTTTTATGTTAGTGTCTGCACCTCTAACATTTGGCCTTCTCAAAAAAATTTTTAGAACTATTACGTCTCTTTAGAACTTTATCATATTCATTATTCATTCACAATTGAGTTTGTGGGTGCGATTAAGATGGACGGGGTATAATGGTGGGATAGGATAGGATATAGTACAAATAATAATAATAATAATAATAACAAGGGGAAAAAGCTAATCGTTGAGAGTCCTTTTACTGTACTTTACAAAAACATAATTATAAATAACTTTTGGTTAAGAAGTGTTCAAGAAATATATTATATAGGAGAAGTTAAAACCTTCCATGATTTTGATAATGTTCTTAATGTCCTTCAACGTTAATAATTCAAATTCACAAAAATGTAAAAAAAAAAAAAGATATTAGGAGAAATAAGACCTTCCTTGATTTTGATAATTTTCTTAAAAATTCAAAACTAATTATAAAAATGTACAACAACTAAAAAACAACATTGCTTATTTAAAACGTTTTTTGTACCTGCTCCACTTCTCCCTGGGTGATGGGTTGAGTCTGAAAGCGGGCGTTGGCCCTGCGCTGGCGGGTGTCCCCTCGGGCCTCAGGGCTCTTTGCTGTTTGATGAGCGAGGCGATTGAAGAGGGCCATCTTCTCTGCCAAGGTGAGGGTGGACAGGTCCGGCTCGTTAGAGAAAAACTCGTGGCCATCGCCCTCCCCCCCGGCACCGGGAGCTGGAGTTGGTTTCTGGTTCTCCTGGGGCTCTTTGGGCTCTGGACCCTGATCCTGGACCGCTGAGCCGGGCTGGGAGGAGGCCTTGATGCTGGGGGGATGTCAATGGATTATTTTAGGGACTGGGAAGTTGTTATGTTATACCAGTGCTTCTCAAAGTGTGGTCCGCGGACCACTGGTGGTCTGTGAGCGCCCCCTAGTGGTCCGTGAGTATATTGGTAAAATTTCACATTTTTAATTAATTAATTAATTAAAGTTTTCCGCACTCTCGCGGGAATATCTCCGCAATGGAGCAAGGTTAAGTTTCACTTTCGATTGCATGATATAACCCAGATAAACACCTTCATCACACATGTTGCCACTTGTTTGTACAATTTTCAGGCGATTTGTAAAAAACGATGTGTTTTTGGATATTTGTGGAGTTAGGTGGTCCGCGAGTGTTTTTTTATTGGTTAAGTGGTCCTTGGTATGAAAAAGTTTGAGAAACACTGTTATATACAAATCACAATAATAAATGAATTTCTGATAATACAATTTCATTTTCATTTCATTTTTATTTGTTCCATACACAACTTAATGTATAATAATTATTTGCAAAACATGTCTATAAACACACCACACCCGGAAAGGAGCAGGGAGAAGAAAATAATCTTATATTACCTGCCCCTTTCTCAAAAAAACAAAAACAATAGAAATAGATGGTCTGCCATCTTCTTATTCACAGCCAATCATAACAGTATCGTAGGAAAATAAGAGAAACACAAAAACGTACAAAAAAAGACTTCCACTCCCACTCGACAGTTAACGGACATGGAAAAACGAATGCATTATTATCACCACCCCAGCTTTGGAAGGTAGAAATGTTAGATTTGATGCTTCTGAGATTTAAATATGTGATTTCTAAATTGCAACAGAGGATAACGTTTCTAAATTGAACCAATAGATTAGTTATGAGGTGATATGTACTGTATGTCCAGAATAAAACATCACATCTAACTATCTTTGACTTTGTACTTTCAGATATCATATTACAGTACATGGATGACCAAAAGGAAGATTAGATTTGAATTTTAAATGGAATAAATGTAATCTCTTATTTCACTGAGTCCTTGTGATGTCTTTGGTTCTCAAATACAAATATATTTCTCAGCTATACATCAAATATTTAAACATCATTGCACATTATATATACATTCTTAGCAGTAAGACAAAACTGAGTACATATGTGTATGTTTATCTAACGCATAATTAAGTACTATGGATATTCAACATCTCTATCACATAGTTTCCTCATGCTGTACAGCACTAATGAACATGCATGCAAACACCAGCTTGCTGTGGGACAACAGTGGCAGATTACTGGCACAGCAAGGAGACATAAGTAGATCAGCGCACATATGCAAGATAATCATTTAATGCACTCTCGTGTTTACAGGCGATATGGCGATCTCTCAGCAGTGTGCTAATTTAAATCCACGCTGGTACACAAATCACAGGACATGTGAACCCAGACATTCAGAGTGCTTTAACCGGCTCAACTTCTGACCTTTCCTTAAGATATGTAACCTCTTGCTTCACCCACATTTGTGACCTGTGTGTCAGGAACACTGCAGGAAGAGAATGCTTGGAAACTGGGCATGGAAAGTAGTAAAGGAGTAATCGTGTAAACACTGACTCATTTTCCCTACAAGGTGCACAGTGCGACGAAGCAGCAGCACATGAAGGGGGCAGAAATAACAAAGTAAGTTGAGCTGCATGAACACATCAGCTGTGCAGCCAGGAGAGGGAGATGGAGAGTAAGACATCTCTGTGGCACATCCACACTGATCAGAATAGGAAGAAATGACAAATGAAATATGAGGAAACAGGTGCACTGGCTCTGACACTACATTTCAGTTGGTTACAATTCAACAATTTCCTTTGTGGGATAAATATGCTGTAGATGTAAAACGAATGTCAAGATGAATAACTGATATTCTTTGGAACCAGCTTCAAGTTTCTATTAAGGAGGCAGACAGCGTTCCCACTTTTAAGAGTAGACTAAAGACCTTCCTTTTTAATGAAGTCTATACTGTAGTAGGGCTCTGGTTTCAGACAGAGGGTGAAAAGAAGTGCTGCAGCAGTCAGTACGAGAAAAATAAAAACCTTATTTGAAAATAGCCATATGCACAAAAACACATATGAACCAGAAAATGAGCATAGGGCATATTTAAAACTGTAAACTACTAATTTTTCAAATAGTTTATTTTTTGTTTTGAGCATTATATGTCTTTAAATGCATGGAATTTCTAATAGCACTGTGTCCGCTTGGATTCATTATCCTAACACACTCTTTCTGAATCTTTTATGTCTCTTCACTTTTTTGAAAAATAATTAACATATGGACATTTTTCATTGTTGTCCCTAAAATGGAGAAATCTGGAACCAACTCTTCAAACATTATAAAGTCACAGAAACCTTCAGTGGTAAAACCTTCAGTTCACTCAAAGTTTGAAAGTATGGAAACATCCTCTCAGTGAAAGTGTGTGAGAAGGTGTGTATGTGTGTGTTAGAGTCGAGATCAGAGAACGACAGCTTTCCTCCATCATAGTCCAGATTCACTCTGACCCTCTGGGGCCTCGTCTGAACTGAGAGATCAGTGTCTGGATGTGATGGAGAGGATGCTGTGTATCCACCTAACCAGTCAATACATATTCTCCATAATCCAGATTGTATCTCTCTCTTCCTGTAGGCAGACTCTGCTAACACACCCAGTGACCACCATGTGCTTTCTCCAACCTGGACGTCCCAGCTGTGAGTCCCTGAGTCAAAGCCTTCAGATCCCAGGACACAGTCGTAGTTTTTCACCCTCTCTGGATTATCAGGACGTTTCTGTCTCCCTCCTCGCCTCACAGAGGTCAGATCTTCAGACAGGAAGAGTTGTAGATCAGCAGTGTTAGGGTCCAGGATGAGAGGAGAGTAGGACACCTTCATCTTGCTCCAGATGTTGAAGCTGAGGTTGCCCAGGTGTTTGGCCTGGTCTATCAGAGCTCCTGAGGGCAGCTGTGGATCCTCCAGCAGGGGGCGCTGCAGCCTCTCCACTGCAGCCTTGTAGTTGTGCAGGAAGGAGACGTCTTCAGCTCTCAGCTCCTCCTCTGTGGCTCTGACTGTGAGTGAAAGAGCTGCTATCTCTCTGCTCACAGCCTCCATCTTCTCCTCCATCATCCTCCTCTTCTGCTCCTCTTCCTCCCTCAGTGCAGCCATCCTGGCCTCCTCTTCCTCTTCTAGAAACTGGTGAAGCATCTTGAACTGCTCCTTAATCTGCGTCTCTGTGTATTGAGCCTGGACCTTCATGTGTCCTGCTGTTTGATCAAACTTCACTTTGACGCGTTCAAAGAGCTTCAGTTTCTCCTGTAAGGGCTGCAGAGACTTCTGGAGCTCCTCTTTGAGACCCTGTGCAGCTTCATCGATGGGTCTGATTGTGTGGTCGGTGTGTTTATCTGAATCTCTGCAGACAAGACACACTGGCTGCTGATGGTCCAGACAGAAGAGTCTGAGTTTCTCAGAGTGCAGACTGCAGAGAGCCTCTGGGGATCTCTGATCTCTCTCCTGTAAGAAACTCTCACACAGGTTCTTTAACGTAAAGTTAGCAGGAAGTAAGTCCTTGGAAAATCGTCTCTTACAAACTGGACACTCCTTTTCTTCTTTCCCTGTCCACCAGCTCTGCAGACAGTCTCTACAGAAGCTGTGGCAGCAGGACAGGATGACAGGATCTCTAAAGATTTCATGGCAGACCGGACAGCTGAGATCTTCCTCTAATTTGGACGCCATTATTCTCCGGTTGAAGCTGAAAACTCTATAGGCGTCTGTTTGCCTTCAGCAGGAAATCAGTTCAACTTGATAATATATCCTCTTCACAACGTTGAGTCTCTGTTCTGTTGCAGCTTGTTGAAGTATCCCCTCCTTCTGTGAGTGGACAGAGGCTTTGTTCTGTGGTGAATCTGACCGCCTGTCTCTCGGTGCGTCTGCTGTACAACAGGCGACCTTTGTCCTCTTGTTAGGAGCGTCAGGTGCGTCACATGAGGACGGAGGTTTGTTCGCGCACTTGGAATTTGTACTTATTTTTAAGGATTTTTCTACCTTTTTTAATAGAAAGTCAAAAATGACCTGTCAGTAGAGGAGATTCATAAATATATCGTGGTGCAGTTTGTGTGGGTTTTGATATACCCTGGCTTCAGTATCACGTAACCTCCCGTTGTGTTTCTGAGGTCGTCTTTCCAAACTTTGCTCAGCCCTTTAACACTTTATGGTTTTATCACTCAGTTGCCTGTGAGGAAATCTCATGAAAAGGATAAGGAGACTTATATACTTATTGTATGTCGCTGTGGATAGAAGCATTAGCTAAACCAAATAATGTAAAGACAAACATGAACTGTGTATGTTTAATATCTACTTTTGATCTACCATGGCCCACAAACAGACACCTTCAGGATACAGAGATAAACATTGTTAACCAGGACAGATTGGTCCTGAAGGGAAAGTCCCAGTGGCTCAAATTATAACCAGGCTTTTATGTTGCCTGAAAAAAGACAAGACAAGAAAAACGGGGAACCTTTCAAATTTTGAGAAAAAAGTTCACATTTTTAGTTTTCAGATAAAAGTAACAATTATGAGATTTTGAGAAAATAAATTCAATTATTTTCAGATTTTTTTTTAATTATTTTCAATTTTATATTTGCTGAAATAAAGTATTATTTTTTCTGAACAAAAGTCTATATTTGGGATTCTCGGGTAAAAGTCAGAATTCTGAGATTTTGAGAAAAAAAAGACAAATTATAATTTTTCTGAAGAAAGTTCAAATGTTGTGAAAAAAGATCAAACTCTTCTGTGAGTGGATAGAGGCTTTGTTCTGCGGTGAATCTGACCGCCTGTCTCTCGGTGCGTCTGCTGTACAACAGGCGACCTTTGTCCTCTTGTTAGAGCGTCAGGTGCGTCACATGAGGGCGGAGGTTTGTTCGCGCACTTGGAATTTTGACTTATTTTTAAGAATGTTTCTACCTTAAGGAATTTAACTAATTAATTCAAATTCTATTGCATATTGCATGCCGTCCATGGTCATTTCTAAACCCATAGAGAATGTACAATTTTAGGTTTGGTATGACACAACCAACCATGTTCTCCAACAAACTTGGAGATGTGTGTGTTTTCTTAAGTGAGCTCCACAGACACAAATCACATGTACCTGATGCTGGTCACATTGGTGCTGACTGCAGTGGGGCTGGGGACGCGAGCGGCGTTAGTGTGGGGGCTCAGAGGTTGTGACGATGTGGCAGGATCACTTTAAAGTGGAGAAAAGGGAGGTGTAGGTGAAAGGCTGGTAAATACAGATAGTGCAAGGCAAAGGGAAATACTGTCACTGAAAAGATAAGATATGAAAGCATTAAAAGAGGTAAAAGGATCAAATAAACAGGAGGGCAAGAAAAGCAAAAAACAGAGCAAACGTATATTTTCTGAAGCAAAATACAGCGATGCAAGCAAAATCCAAGACATACCTTGAAGCATTGACCACCTCCTTGTCGGTGACGGGTTGTGTGTGCGACCGATCCTGAACCCTCCTCAGGCGGCGCTCTACGGCAGCGTTTCTGGAGCGCGGTTTGGGAACATCTGATGTCCTTTCCAGCTCCTGGGGAATAAAACATGACAGGAAAACTTCAGTCATTCGTTTAGTAAAGTTTAGTCCATAACAGTGTTAATTTTAGAAACTTGTATTACACAAACGTCCGCTGTATATCTGAACAAAGCTCCAGGTTTTGCTTTTCAGATTGTCATTTTAAAAACACTGCTCATTCGAGTGTTTTGATTATCTGTCCTTATGATTGAAATGTACATAACGTCGAAAGCATACCCTGAAGAGGGATCTCTTGGCAGCCACACTCATCTTGGCTCTGTCATCCAGAGTTTCTCCAGCTAATGAAAAGGAGATGTCACATTGCATCAACATCAAATCTCTGGAAAAACAAAACATATATTGTGCATTCTGTTAATGCAGTAGACTGAATTTACCTTCTGCATCTTGTAGCTGTGAAGGGCTGAGACGGGACCTGCAGAGAAACATGTATCAAGCATCAGCATTTAGTCTACCTTTTATTCTATTTAAGGAACTGATTATCCCGATATAATGCCAACCTAGAACAATCCAATTCACAGTATTAAACAAGTGAATCATGCAAAGAAAATGACTCAGAGCTCCTGAGGATCAGTGCAGAGAGCCCCTCCTGTACCTATCTGACTCCAGCCGCTCTGCAGAGGTAATGGGCTGCGTCCTAAACCTCTCCGACATGCGACTGTCTCCTGGAGTGATGTAGCGACGAGGTTTCCGAGCACCCCTTTCCCGATCAGCGCTGATAACCGGCTCTACCTCCACTGCTGACAGATCGACTTTAGTAGTCTCGCTTTTTTTGTGATTTAGAAAGATTGACGAGGACAACAAAAAGGAGAAGTACAAGTAAGAAAACTATTGTTGGTTTTGATGTTGTTTTAGTAGACGAGCAGTTTACCAGGGACCTCAATCAGGTTAGAAGAGCAGGGTGTCATACATTGATAGTGGTGCACACGCTGAGCACAACCTAAATCTGAAGAGCCATCCACCAACGTTAACATGCAGCTGCAGACAACTTCAAAAGGGTAACTTGCACGAGTAAGTTAGCTCGAAAAACAAACTGCTGACGCGATAATGAACGTGAAAATTGTAGATATCACCGCAATACACCTCGACACATTTCATGCCACAGAATGACATTGTATCAGTAGTAATTTTCTTGAATCATTGGGATTATTAATCTGCATACGTTAGACAGTTATTTAGCGATGCAACACAGAGCCCATGCCATTGAACCTACAACTCAGGTTTCCGGTTGGCGTTCTCCAGGTAGGAGTGTCGCAGCTGTGCTACCGACACTCTGGTGTCCAGGCTGCCCATCTCCCCGTTAGCCATCACCGGTGGAGGGACGGCCCTCAAAGCTTCTCGACTGGCCGCTGCCCTCTCCATGCGGTACGTGTTAGAATGCTGACTTATACCTATATCTGACATGGAGCGGGTTCGTGTCTTTGGTTTGGGCCCTCCGCTCATCTCCACGCTTCTGTGTTTGGCCTGAGGCAACGAGGAGCCCTGCTGGACGTAGATGGCTGAGTCAAACCTCTGGTTCCCTGGAAGATCTAGCTGCTGCTGCTGCCTCTGAGGCTCAACGTCTTTGTCTAGTTTGGGCTCTTGTTCATTTCTGCGAGAGTCTTGCTGCGGATTTGGAGGATCTTTTCTCTGAAGCTCAGAATCTGGTTTTCTTTGAAGCGGCTGTTGTCTTTGAGGATCTTGTGACCGCCTCGGGTGGTCATCCCGATGCTGCATTTGAGGATCTTGTGGTTGTCTCAAACGTTCGTACTGATGCTGAACTTGAGGATCTTGTTGCTGTCTCAAACGATCATCCTGAAGCTGCATTTGAGGATCTTGTGGTTGTCTCAAACGTTCGTACTGATGCTGAACTTGAGGATCTTGTGGTTGTCTCAAACGTTCGTATTGATGCTGAACTTGAGGATCTTGTGGTTGTCTCATACGTTCGTACTGATGCTGAACTTGAGGATCTTGTGGTTGTCTCAAACGTTCGTACTGATGCTGAACTTGAGGATCTTGTTGCTGTCTCAAACAATCATCCTGAAGCTGCATTTGAGGATCTTGTGGTTGTCTCAAACGATCGTCCTGATGCTGCATTTGAGGGTCTTGTGGTTGTCTCAAACGTTCGTACTGATGCTGAACTTGAGGATCTTGTGGCTGTCTCAAGTGGTCGTACTGATGCTGCATTTGAGGATCAGGTTCTCTCTTTCTGGTTTCAAACTGGGGTTGTGTTGGGGGTTCTTGCTGCTGAAGTTGGGGCTCTTGCTGTTGAACTTGAGCCAAAGGCTGTCTCTTTCTAGGTTCATACAGTGGTTGTGTTGGGGGTTCTTGCTGCTGAAGTTGGGGCTCTTGCTGTTGAACTTGAGCCAAAGGCTGTCTCTTTCTAGGTTCATACTGGGGTTGTGTTGGGGGTTCTTGCTGCTGAAGTTGGGGCTCTTGCTGTTGAACTTGAGCCAAAGGCTGTCTCTTTCTAGGTTCATACTGGGGTTGTGTTGGGGGTTCTTGCTGCTGAAGTTGGGGCTCTTGCTGTTGAACTTGAGCCAAAGGCTGTCTCTTTCTAGGTTCATACTGTGGTTGTGTTGGGGGTTCTTGCTGCTGAAGTTGGGGCTCTTGCTGTTGAACTTGAGCCAAAGGCTGTCTCTTTCTAGGTTCATACAGTGGTTGTGTTGGGGGTTCTTGCTGCTGAACTTGGGGCTCTTGCTGTTGAACTTGAGCCAAAGGCTGTCTCTTTCTAGGTTCATACTGGGGTTGTGTTGGGGGTTCTTGCTGCTGAAGTTGGGGCTCTTGCTGTTGAACTTGAGCCACAGGTTTTCTCTTTCTAGGTTCATACAGTGGTTGTGTTGGGGGTTCTTGCTGCTGAAGTTGGGGCTCTTGCTGTTGAACTTGAGCCAAAGGCTGTCTCTTTCTAGGTTCATACAGTGGTTGTGTTGGGGGTTCTTGCTGCTGAAGTTGGGGCTCTTGCTGTTGAACTTGAGCCACAGGTTTTCTCTTTCTAGGTTCATACAGTGGTTGTGTTGGGGGTTCTTGCTGCTGAAGTTGGGGCTCTTGCTGTTGAACTTGAGCCACAGGTTTTCTCTTTCTAGGTTCATACAGTGGTTGTGTTGGGGGTTCTTGCTGCTGAAGTTGGGGCTCTTGCTGTTGAACTTGAGCCACAGGTTTTCTCTTTCTAGGTTCATACAGTGGTTGTGTTGGGGGTTCTTGCTGCTGAAATTGGGGCTCTTGATGGTACACAGGCTCTGTGGACTGATGCTGCCTGGGCTGCTGGCTTGCAGAAATGTGGGGAGGCTGGGATCGAAACAATCTCTCCTGTTGGCCATCATCACTCCCTCTCTCTCTGATCCTCTCAACATTTCTCTCCCTCCCCCTCTCCCTTGGTGTCTCATGGTCCCAGTCTTCCTCGCCTCGACTCATCCTCCTCTGTTCTGGGCTGTATGTTTGCCAGTCCATCTCTTCATGCGGGCCACTTTGAGTATCATCCACACTCTTTTCCCTTCGGCGGATCTCAGATGGCAAAACGGCTTTCCTGCTCTTCAGCAGACCCTCTGTGTGGGCCTCTTCCTTCAGTGCCTGCCTGGCCTCCATTCTTGCCCCCCTATGGGCGGCATGGATTTGGTCAGCACTCACTCTTCTTCGTGGTAGTACCTCGGGGGGTCCAGGAAGTTTGGCAGTGGCCACTGGGGCAGGGATGGCCAAATAAGGCTGAGAGTCAACAGCAGGACCAGAATGTTGGTACTCAGGATGGGCTGTTTGGCCTGGGCTGGGCTGAGGATGGGGAGCAGTCCTTTGCTGGGGGAGTTCTGATCGTTGTGGCGTATACTGAGCAGTGTTCCCCTGAGTATGGTGTCTGTTACCCTGGTGTCTGTCTGGACTCCAGTCAGGGGGCTTCTGGACTGTTTCATCCCTGGACAAGCGTTCCCTTACGCGGATTCTTTAGGGAAGGAATGGATAGGGTACACTGAGATTCCAGTTCAATTAAAGACACACTTCTGAACTCAAACAAAAGGGGACTAAAAAGCACATACCAAGCTTATTGTTGTATTGGATACAAAGGATGGTTAATAAAATAAATTAGCCAAAGTAGTTGTATCATTTGTCTTACAATCTAACCCTAACCCTAACAAATTGTGAAACATATTGCACACACGTTAATTACATTAGACTATCATGGGACAAACTTGAGCTTCCAAATCATAGAGTAGTATTGAAACAAGGTCAAGTAGCAGCTTGCCCTGGGTTTAAACTTGAGTCTTGCTTCGAACAACTCTCTGACGTCTCCTTGCCAAAAAGTAAGCCAAACTATTTTCATCTACAACCTTCTGACCCCGGGTAGCCAAAGGTTGCTCTAATCTCATTGAAGAGCACTAAGCCAGACATAATTGATGGGCCTCTTCTTTATCTGACATGGCACGAAGGACTTACACTGTGCTGGTATAAATGAGTTCACACCAATGCTAGCTAGCATAAGCGGCTGATAAGGCTACAAAGTGCTGATGGCAGCAATATCCTCTTTTGAGACACATCAGATGTTTTCCTTTTCAAGTCACTTTGGCAAACATTAAGACGTCTGTGGTGTTCAGCAATAAAATCAATAAAGATTTACTAACACTCTATTTCAAGGTTGGTGTGGTTTGCTAGCCTTGCTTCTTTGAATTTCACCAGTCCTTACAGCTCAAAGGCTGTCCATGGAACTTCATCGTTCCTAAGGCTATCAGAAAACGAGATATGTCACATAACTGGGCCACCGTCCAGTCCAGAAATACATGTAGAACCAAGGACTTCTACAATCTAGGAAAACTCAAATAAAATCAGAGTTTTCTGGTAATCAGTTTTTCTCTAGAATCCTTTCAGCGCTAAATGATAGGTGATTCAAAAGTCTACATGCAAGCTGTCAAGGCAACATTCACGTCTTATCTTATGCAACATCATTGACAAGGTCACTGACAGGGATAGGAGATTCAGGTGTAATTTCATAGGGGTTAATAGGTCAGATTGTGAGGAGGGGGGATTTGAGCGCCGCCTCAGCTGACAAGTGCTGAGTCAGTGGGTCTACGACTGACTGGGCCAGGGCATCAAGCTGACTAATGTTGTCACCTCATCAAATCCGTTTCACTAACACTCCACTGCTCATGAAAACCAGGCCACACAGTCACAACTCATTTAACAAGAGCGATGGTATTGTGCTGGTGGGCAAATGGTTGTTTTTAAAAGGGTTCTGGGTATGTTTAAAGAACATTATCCGACATATGTGACAGAAGAGGTGTAAGTAGATCGCCCCAGTTTCCTGCAAGGTATTTTTAGAGATTACTTTTTGAATAGACAGAGACTGTTTCCATGTTTTAAGAGAACAAAAATATCTGTTTATAAGGCTTAATATTTAGTGAAACAAGAATTTAACCAGAGGATTTCTAGGTTGATTCTTAGTTGGGATGTAGCAAGAGATGAACTCACAATTCTGACACAAATTAAATGTAATTAATTAAAGTGACATAGAAAATGCACAGGATTATAACTTAAGATTTATGATGGCAAAAAAGTGAGTGATCTAGAAAAACAGATGAGAATGTATTGAGTGAATCTTTTAAGGAATAAATGTTCATTTGTAAGACTTAGCTAGGGCTAGTCCATTTTTCAAACCCACTCAAATCCACAGACTTAAAACACTTAAATGGAGGATAATTACACAAGTTAATAGGGGGAAATATTAAATATAATATTCCACAGTTAGAATGTTTAATGTTAATGTTCTAATGGGATGAGTTAGCTGTATGTCCACCCAGACCATGTTTTTAAAATGCTGGCATATTATCCTGTTACCATTTCTAGAAGTATTTTTGACATTTTCCTAGATTTGAGAATATGTTTAAACCGTGTTTTGAAGACATGTTATTGTTTTTGAAGACCTATGAATATTGTGTAAAAGAGATAACAGTATAATTATAGAATAAGTGACTACAGCCAGCTTAAGCACATGAACCTGGTGGACTACAGAGGCTTTGTGAGGTCTTTCCACTGATCCTGAGCACAGTATTTGAAGGCCAGCTGAAGTCTGCCCGAGTGTCGCTCTCTGAGTCTGTGTTGAGAGACCAGTCGCTCTTTGACAGGGCGGCCAGGCTACAACATGATGTGGTGACAGTGTCAAACCCAGAGGGGAACTTATGATCATTCTTTCATACTGTAGGTCAGAGAAATGTCAGCTGCACTGTACAGCTGAAGTGTCAATCAGGAATATTTGCAGATATTTGCATAATTGAGCAGTCAGATTATTGTTTAATTGGTAAAATGGTTGTGTACTGTGCACATTTTGATAAAAGGTTTGTCAATAAAGTTTGACTATTTTCAATTGGTATAGAATACATTTTTCACCTTCATGAATCTGAATGCTATTATTCGTAGTTTTCCTTTCACACACAGTATTATGCTTGTTTAGGTTTCAATGCCATGAAGTCCAATTCTTTATAACTTGCTTCAATTGACAAATATTAGACAGTAAAATTACATGATGTTTTTGACCAATGTCCTGCAGAGTTGATGTAGGGTGTAAGAAATAAAATCAATGTTTATATGGCGTAATTTAAATACACTGTTATAATTTAAAGCTGTTTTATTCTGAAAACCACACAAGTTCACACAACGTCTTCTTGTTTTGCGAGTACATTTTGTTAGCTTCAATTTAAGCATTAGCATGTGGCTAAAGACTACGTTTTGAAACAGTGAATTTAAGGTGAAATTATGTGGTGTTGCACACTAAACACACCGTCTTTAACCCTCACTTATTGACGCTGCAATACTGTTATTAGGGAATGTTTAAATAACCACAGACATTAGGATATTGTAAATTAACAACAGGAAAAGACAGGATATGCATTGGACACGCCCCCGTCGACGCCGGCCAATAGGAGGAGACAACAGTTGATAACACCTGGAGATGGGGAGAAATCTCTTTCTTTCAACTCAGCTGACCCGGCCGGCAACAGCTGGGAGGGGGGAGCCTGCCATCTTGCACATTCCCATTTTGTATCATCGTATCATTTGTTTAATTAAATGCTGTTAACTTTTGAGAAAGCTTCCTTGGACTCTTTTCAGCTAATCCTGCTCTCAGGGCTAAGAAATACTTCCAAGGGACAATATTGAAAGGTTGACCATTGCTTTTATAAATATTTACGATATGAGATTTTTGATAAATTATGTAGGTCAACGACAATAAAAGAACATCTACAGCAGTCTGCTATGTTAATAAAGATACATTACTTAGATGTAATGCCCTCTTTTAAACCAGGGAAAGAAATTATGCCAGATTAAAATATCCAATATCTGAGTAGATCCCCAGTTTCATATAATATGGAAATATAATAGCAATGTTTGTTGCCAAGCCCCAGTTCTCATCCATTTTGTGGTAGCATATACGTTTCTTATAGCAAGTGACATAAGCGCTTTGCTAATGAACCAAGCTGCTGTTAAATCAGGATAACCTCTCGGGGGCAAGGAAGGAAATCATACCCACTCCAAAAACCGACCCTGACATCTACCCTGCAACCTTTCCCTGAGGATCTCCCCAGAGCGCCTTTCCATGTGAAACTGGAGCAGGGCGAGCGTGACAGAGCCGGACTCACGGTCTACAAAAGATCCTAATGCTGGCGCAGTGTTGAAGCGGCAGGCTGGTTAGCTTAGCAGCCAGAAGACAGCCCAAACTGCACCGATTCATGAATATCTCAGTGTAGGACTCATTAGCAGCCAGTGGATCAGTGTAAATATTGTCATGAAAACAGGGGTTTGAGTTGTGTAACCCCCTAATGTAGTCTAAAGATACACTGCAGACACAACATTATACTTTTAAATGGTCCGATCACTCCACGGGAAGCAGATAGAATAACCCAGAGTCATTTAATGGCTTGTGATAATGATCAAGGCCATTTAAAAAGACCTACTCGAATGACTCATCAAAATCCAGTATGAAACTTTTTGAATTACTTTTCATGTTTAGAGTAAGAGTTAGTCTCTGTATCAGGCGCATGTGTCAGAATCTGTTCAGTCGTCAGTGTTGTATTTTCTGAATGTTATGACCGTTTTTTATGAACTCACCCCTGCCTGTTGAGGATGCTCTGGGCCTGCTGCTCTATGAATAAATCCCCAGGTGAGATGCCGTAGCGGTTGGAGGGCAGCGAGGCCCGGCGGGCGGTGCGAGCGGAGCTGGGCACCGCCGCGATGCTGTAATCCCGGCTGGAGGCGGGGCTTGGCTCCTGGTGGGCGGGGTCCTGCTGGTGCTGGGGATGAGGCTGCTCCTGGGTTCTCGTTAAAGGAGCGATTGAGCGCTCTTGAGCCCCACCACGTCGGTAGTTCTCCATGTTCATCGCCCTTTCCCGATCAGAAAACCTCCGCTGCCTTTCCTGTGTCTTGGGAGGGGCTTGGTTTGAGTGGGCGGGGCTGGGGCTGGAAACAGGGGCGGGGTCCGGCTGATTCCTCATGTAAACCCTACCCACTCCGGAGCGGTATGGCACCCTGGGATCTCGTCCTTGTTCCTCAGCTTCCTGTCTGTCTCTTTCTCGCCTTGCAGCTGTTTGTCGGTCAGGGGTGTCCGTATCACGGCGGGACCGGTGGCGAGGTGTGAAGTCGACGTCCGCCTCCTGATCCAGGAGAATGCCATACCGCTCTGAAAGCTGCCGGCGGCGCTCGGCTTTGTAGCGGGCGATGCGTTCAGCCTTGGAGCTGAGACTGGAGGGGTCAGCGGGTCCAGATGTGGGTGTAGAAGAGGTGGATAGCGACACTGGGTCAACGTACACCAACATGGGGTCGGGGCGGCTGCTGCCAACACCGCCTTTGATCTGAGGGGATCTGTCCTGAGATGAAAGCTGCTTCTGGGGCGCCTCCAGCTCTTCTCGACTGTAGCGTCTCACTGTGGTAAATAGTGGAAATACTCCATTACTTATTAACAACATTGCTTGACAACCAATCATTTGCCACATTCATGCTCCGCAGGAGTTACTGTAGTTCATTTTCTGTCTTCTAGATAGAGTTTAACCACCAAGTCACAATTATGGTTGGACGACATATTTTTCTAAAAGCTCAAATAGCTAATTGATCAAAAATGCACAAGTGCAACAAAGAAAACCAATTTGGATGCCTCCTATTAGCCACGGTTAAAAATTCAAGGCAATTGCTGTTATCAAATTATATGTATCGTTATTTTGACTTCATATGGTATATTTTAAGTCACACACAAACCAATCTGCGATGTTACTGTCCTGTATAATGATGTTAACACTTGCAACCTTCATCCAACGTGACATAAATATGACATTATTTTTACAAAACACATCACAGATTTACAAGTCAATTAGTGAATTCAATTCCTTCAAAATGCAAATTTGTGTTATACATTATGTTGACATTAAAGTAGCCAGGATGATTTTAAAACGTGTTTCTCCAGAAGCAAAAACATCTGATTGCAGATTGTGCACCAAGATTATTAATAAATGTTTTAATATTGATGAATATCTTAAAAAAAGGACCAAGTCCAACTTTTGTAAGAAAAAATATATGTGTGAGGTTTTTCTGAATTGTTCTTTTCTTTAAATATTTTTGCATTTCTGGTCAGGTTTTATACTTCACAAATTTAAAATGTGCCATAAATCTGGTGGATGGAAACCCACCTAGAGAGAGTAAACTGGCAGACGAAAAAATAAAATAAATTCTATGGTTTACAAATACTTGATGACAAACATGACTTAATAGCCGTTTGACAAACACAAGAAAATGTCAATGTTGTCAACCCATGTAAGGCAGCATCATATATTGTTGCAGTGCATCGTGCCATGCTTACCCATCACACAAGGCTCACAGGGGTCTGAGGCACGGGTGTACCGCGGGGAGTCCTCCCCCAGCATCCTGTTGGCTACCAAACCACCGGGCACCAGCGCAGGCGGAGCATCGCTCTCCATCCCCTCCAGACGCCGAGCTATCCTCTCCTTCCTGTGACCAGATGTGAGGCAGAGAGTAAAGGTCAAAAGTTGTTGGACTGGGTTTGTTTTTATGAAATTATTTAGACGTGTTCATGTGAAAACACAGAGAAGTGAGCCCTGAAATTACCTGTTCATTCCCAAATCTTCTGGGACAGGTCCCTCAAAGTATTTCTTCAACTCTGAAACTGAATATTAGAACAGAAATATATAGTTAGTGTCGTAATACAATGAAAAGTATTAAATTATGTGATTATTCTCAGTAATTGTTTGTGTTTAGAGCCAATGCACACCCTTGGGGAGGACAAACAGAAGTTTGGCATCTGTATCTGAAACGCTCTTGACCAGGGCGGTCTTTTCCTCCAAGGAGAAGTCACTCTGAAAACTGAATGAGAGGAAAGAGTCATAACATGCTATCAAGAAAATGTATATTTAATAAAAAACATGGTTCACTATTGGAGGGTGGGTAGCTGCTATATTCTAGTTTACTATTGGTTGAAAGAGGTGTAAAGTGGTGATGCTGAATGGAGCCAAACTACATATCTCTACATATTGTTCAGATTAAAAAACATCAGTACATTTGTGCCTAGTTTCCTATGGCAGCTGTCCAAGCAACTCTGCCTCAAACGCCTTGTCTTAAAAAGGTGATGGCAGGTAAAGGTAAATCTCAGCTGGAGTTTCTTCCAACAGGATCCAGCTTAAGAACTGGGTCATTAAATTCTCCAAGTGGAAATTGACAATTGAGGTCTTGAGGTCTTGAGGTCCCTAATGTCATTATCAAGAGGACACATAAGCCAGGATAAGGTAACTTGCCATTCCTTTCTTTACAAAACCCTCACAAACTATTCAATCTGTTGTTTAAACGGAGCCGTAAAAATGTAATTGATATTTCTAGACTAATTTGGAGAGATTGGCGTCTTAAATATTTTACAGTATTTATAAAAAAAGGACCAGATCATTTCAAACTACTTTTTTGATCAAATGTAAAACAGTTATTGTGTAACTTTCTGCCAGACAGCTTAAGAACGAGAGGAACTCAATGCAAAAGGGGGCTCGGGGCAAAGTGCTCCGGAAGGAGGTATTATGGCTTTAATGGCATGTGAACATAAAAGTGCCTTAAGATAAGCTGTTACTGGCATATGCAGCTTTGAATGCTCACTGCACGTGATTGGCTGCAGCACTCAACTGTGGTAAATCTATATCCTTACATATCCCTCACTTGATGACAAAGCAAAAACTAAATGAATGTATTAAATGCTCTTAGACGATACTTCCTCGAGTAATTGACTCGTGTCTGTGTGGTGATTGCAAACAGAAGACTCACCTTAAGGCCTCTGTTGGCAAAGAGGCTGAGCTGCACAGCTTGGGACGAGCTGTGGATCCTAATTCTAAAAAGACAAATAAGACTCAGTCAAGACTCATGTTCAATTTATCTGTGCTGACAATGGGACTATTGAAACATGTTAACGTAGTCAAAAAAAGCGGTATATTTAGAAATACGGTAGATACATATAAACAAAGCGTATCTTATATTCTTCATAGATATTAAATACATTAATGACATCATGGATCATATTACAGCTGATGATACAGATGGTTGTAAATAGGGATGCTCCGATCGATCGGTCACCGATCGATATCGGCCGATACTCACTCTCTACCGATCGATCGGTGCTCTCTAAACATGCCGATCGCGAGAGCCGATCGCATGACGTAAAATACATGACACTTTTCTCTGTGTGCGGCAAAACAAGCTCGCCAAAATGGCTTCACCGGTCTGGCATTATTTTAAGGTGTCCGAAAAAGACAGTAAAATAGCGGTATGCTACGGAGCCCTGGAGGGTTCATAGAGAGAAAAATAAATAAAACGTGGCCACGTTTTACTTTCTCGTGCGCACGCTTTAGTAACTCGTGCGCACGCTTTATTAACTCGTGCGCACGCTTTAGTAACTCGTGCGCACGCTTTAGTAACTCGTGCGCACGAGTTACTAAAGCGTGCGCACGAGTTAATAAAGCGTGGCCTCGTTTTATTTAAATTGAGGGATTCCTGTCCGTGACTCACAGTATCTGCTGCCCACAGCTGTTTTATAGAAGGAAAACCTCCTTCACTTTATGAAATCTCAGCGGCACCAGTGGCCTGTACTACGAAGCAGGATTGGCTATTTACACTATTCATTCATGAAGTATGACGCTGCGCTGTCAGCACGCGTCTCCATGTTTGTGATTGGTCAAATGTTGCTAACCCCGTCCCTTACACCTGAGCGCGCTCTCAGCCGGACAGAGAAACCCTGGTTGATTTACTGAGTTGATAACCAGCTTCGTAGGACCGCTTATCGACATCGCGTTTGTTAGGGTCAGTTAAGCTGGGTAAATCGAACATATTCAGGTCCAGGGTCTGTTGAACTGGCTTCGTCGTACAGGGCACTGGAGGCAGTAACGTGTAACTCAGCAGAATCTGAGAAGAGCAGCACCAGCTGCAAAGAGCTGTGCCTTTTACTGTTTACTTCACTGCGTTTCCCTTCATTAGAACCGCTGAATAGAGATCGAGGCTGCTACGTTTTACCACACACACTTATACACACATCGAACTACCAGAGTATTCCCCCTCGCTTTATGAAGGAGATGTCCTGTCACCGGGGCGCATGATGTGTGTGTGTGTGTGCTCAGCTCCGCTCTGTGTGCGTGTTCGTGTGTATCCGACACCACCGGCATTTGTTTTCAAATTACCACGAACAGTACTTTAAACAAATCTGGTTCCCCATAGTTAAGTGTATTCCCAAGTGAAAGAAATGTGTTTAATCTTAATCTCGATGTGCACCGGAACGAACGATACTATCATAAACAAATGCCCCCCCCATACACACACACACACACAAAACGAGGCCATGCTTTATTAACTCGTGCGCACGCTTTAGTAACTCGTGCGCACGCTTTATTAACTCGTGCGCACGCTTTAGTAACTCGTGCGCACGCTTTAGTAACTCGTGCGCACGAGTTACTAAAGCGTGCGCACGAGAAAGTAAAACGTGGCCACGTTTTATTTATTTTTCTCTCTATGAACCCTCCAGGGCTCCGTAGTATGCAACGTGTGTGAAGCAGAAATCCTGCAGCTCCGCCCGCCGGACAGGTAAGCGCAGCGAAACACACACACAGGGAGAACCAGACCGCAGTTCATTTCCTCATATTCCAAACGAGAAATTACGGTAGCAAATCACCCGGTTCTTTACGACCAGAACTATTAACGGGATACAAACCGGAGGAACCAGGCATGGAGGGAGGTGGCAGACAGTGGGTGAAACTGGTAAGTTTTCGCCTGTTTGGGGAGTTTATATATATATATATATTGCTCGCATAAAATCCCCGGGGTTTTTTGCTTTGTATGTCGGGGGCGGGAGATTCATGTGATTGGTTGTTGGTCGCGTTGCTCGCAAAAAATCCCCAAGCTTTCAGACACGCCCAGCTCCAAGATTTTCAAGATTTTTGAAAAGCTGCTGTGTGGACGTACCGTAAGAGTTAGACCTAACACACTTAGCTATTTTATCTACCTCTGGAACAAGCTAAACTAGTTATTATAAATATATGTATTCTTCATTGTCGGGTCACTCATTACTGGATCAGTGAGCTGCATGAGATACTGACAGGCTGTCAGGAGAGGGAGAGAGGGGGGAGAGAGAGAGGGAGAGAGGAAAAGAGAGCGCTTCCGCTAATTTCTCCCGTGTTATTAGCCAAAGTGAATGTAAACTTGAATAATGTACATAATTTGAATGTAATAATTAAGTTGATTGTTGTTTGTGGAAGCTCCAGTGAATGAGCCCCATTAACTGAGTTTTAAACATCATTTTAAATGGAAGATTTAAAGTGATGTTTAAATCTTCCATTTAGGCCCCGCCCACTCGATCGGATCGGCGATCGGTATCGGCCGATACTGATTCCGGCGATCGGTGATCGGCGATCGGCCCCGAAATTGGCGATCGGAGCATCCCTAGTTGTAAACATCAAAATGATCCAGAAAAAATCCAACAGGGGTCAATTTTTGCCTCAAATATTGCAATGGCATCTCATTCAAGATGGTGGATGTCATTATTGTTTCTGAGATAAATGTCCTCTAATACTATTATAAACTCCAGCGCATCGTTTTGGCTACAGATACACCTTTAAACGTATGGATGTATTACATAAGTCGGCGCCATTATTTCTTTGTATTCTTGGCATCTAAAAACACTTGTCCTCACTGACGCAGCTGGTTGTGTTTGTCTATGCAATGTTTCTTTAATCTGCATAACTGGTCAGACACCTACTAGTGGTCTGACCAAACAATACTGTATGTGTTTGTCAAACTAAAACAAACATCAGCCCATTTACAAATCTTCACTTTATGAGTGTCGTCACATACTGTATGGAAAATTCTTCAGAAAAACATTTTACAACCCTTCAAAAGTATAGTCCCTAAAAATCTAGTAATCAATAATCAAAATGTCAATCATAGTCAAGTTTTAATAGCAATATGTTTGTGAATATACATAAGGAATATTGATAATGCACAACAGCTACAGTATTCAGGCGCTATATTTGCTTTAATAAGATAAATTAAACTTTGTAACCCCTTTTTACAACCTCTGTAACAAATCAGAGACCAGGTGCCAGATCGTAATCACTCATCCAAGAGAAGCTAAAATGCTATACAAAGCCGTAAAATGTAACAAAAGCAGGGCAACACGCCAAGCAGACAAAGCCCCTGAATGAGATTGAATCTGGGGTTGGACTTCGCCATCTTGACCATGGAAAGAGGGGCCAAATGTGAAGGTTGTGTTTACAAACCCTAACCCTAGATCCTGCTCATAATGCCTGTAACTTAAGGTATTTAAGAGAAGTCAGACTTCTTCAAGATTAAACACCAACAACATGCTGATTTGACAGGACATCTCCCTTGTCTAAAAAGGTTCCTCAGAAAGTTCACATCCAGTTCCCAGCTGACAGTTGACCCGTTTGCTCTCACAGCAACAGCAGCCTGTTGTAAAGTTGTATCCCAGTATAGGAGACGGATCATGTTTCTGCTCCAGACGCCTCCTGAACACCTCCGGACTATTTTGGCCCCAAAAGGCTGTGTGTCTATACAGCATGGGATGTTTGGCAGGACACAAGGTATGTAAGTATGGTGCTAGATGTCCTAATGCTTGCTTAGACATCAAGTTTAACAGCTTCCAAGTGTTTTGTGTAGCTACCAGTGAAGTTCAAGGACTCAAAAGTGCCATGTCTGGATGTAAAGGATGACACAAGTCAGAATTAGACACGAGCGGGGTCAGAAATCTGGGTTGGATGTGCTCAAACATTATTTTATCTTACAGCACAATGATTCATTGCCTGTGAGAACCTTGTTTACATCTATCTGTCTGTTCATCTGCCTGGAAAGCCCCTCGCCTGTGCAGCTTTCCTTAGAAACGCCTGCAGGTTGTCAACAAAACAAGCAGCACAAGATTCAAGGTTGACAGCGCCAGAGAGAAGCTTAGTGCTGCTGACGGTCCAAAAATGAGGGTGGTGAGGAGAGGGATTTTCTATATATATTCAGAGGTGCGAATAGACTTCCTAAGTGAACCGGGCCTTCGCTTGCACACAATCTGTTTCGAAAGGTTGCTGGTAGAACATGAACACCCTTCCTCCATCTCAGCAAGCGAATGATGGAGAGCATTGACAAGGTGGGACATCAGAGGGGTGAAAACGGGAAAAAGCATAACATATAGCACATAATGTATAATGGAACTACATTTGACCTTTCATTGCTAAACCACACACTTCATTCATTCGTAGCAGCCTGATGCTAACATTCACACCAATCGTAGTAGATTCAAGCATGTATTTTATTCCAAATTCGTGAATTGCATTAGGCAGGGATGAGTAGCTCTTACACACGCCATGAATCCTCGTTTCCTCTGAGCCAACCAAGCAAAAAGAAGCGAAACGAGGAGTCAACACTTCACAGCCTTTAAGCCCGAATCCCAGTGACAGCCACCAAACTGTCATTTACCTCAGTAAGGAGCTAAATTGCATTAGCAAAGTCCCCCAAGCAGTCTATAGGTGTAACAAGGGTATTCGAGAGGGTCAAGCAGGTCACCCTATAGCCAGACCTTCCCCTATCAAAGGCCTTACCTTGGCCACATGGCTGCTCATGGTTCACATGGTAACTAGAGATCCAAGGGTTTCGAAACATGTTTAGGGAGAAAAAGAAAGCTGCTCCGCTGCTAGACTTCCCCTCCGATCACAGCGGAGGTGACGGCGTTTGACAGCGGTGGAGGCGACGGCTGCTACCGGCAAGCAGGGATGGAGATAGTGACACGACTACACACACACACACACACACACCGAAGAGCACACACCGACAGACAGAGTAAACTGCCCCGGATACCCGGCAAACCTACAGCCTGCACAGACTGGCTGTCATGCAGATTGTGTGTGTCAGTGTGCATGTCAGTGTGCATGTCAGTGTGTGTGTGTGTGTGTGTGTGTGTGTGGTGTGGTGTGTGTGTGTGTGTGGTGTGTGTGTGTGTGTGTGTGTGTGTGTGTGTGTGGTGTGTGTGTGTGTGTGTGTGTGTGTGTGTG